GAAATAATACAAGAAAGTTTCCTCAAATGGAAAAACATAAATGTCCAGATGGGAAAGGCCACCAAAGTTCCAACAGAGCAAATTAACAAAGACAAAGGACCCCCAGCCACATACACATCAATTCACATCATCATGAGATATAACACTGAGGCTTAAAAAAAATCTTAAAAGCTTCTGGAAAGAAAAAAATGGGTTACGTACAAAGGAAGAGTGGGATGATTGCATTGGAATTCTCAATAGAAATATGGAAAACCAGAAGTCAGTGGAGCAATGTCTTCAAAATGCTGAGTGGAAATTATTTTCGACCCAATATTCCATACACAAGGCGGTCCTAGAATGTCAGACTGAGGAGTTTGGATTTTATTGTGTAAGCAATGGAGTGCCTTTAAACATTTTTGAGTGAGGAAATGACCTAATCAGAATTGTGCTGTATATAGATTAATTCAGCAATGAAATTTCAAATGACTTAGTCTGCAGAGACTAAGTGTGGAAGACCAGTTAGCAAAAACCTATTGTAAGAAATAATGAAGGCTCTAAGGAGAGTAGTGGCAGTCGGAATGAAGAGGCAGACAAGATAGGAGAAACGTTTTAGAGGCAAAATCAGTAGGATGTCACAAAGTCATCATTGTTCCAAAGCCATCTAATGGGATAAAAGCCAGTAAAGTGATTTCCTAGAATCAACATTGGCAGCATTTTTGTGTTAAAGACATGTCATAGTGGGAGGATGTTGGGACAGGAGAAGACTCTGATGTTTATGCCTTTCATTCAAATGTACTTTGAAAAGTTTGAAAAAACTAGGAAATGCTGGAAAACAGCGTTCGTACTACATTGTCAGGCATTCCAGGATTCGAATGCCTGTCAGGTTGCCAACCCTGCTCTGGAAGTGCTACTTAAATTCACCAGTCTTGAGGTAAAGAGAAGCACCTGGAGTAGAATTTCCCACCTCCTTCAAACGTCCTTCAAACGAAAACCTTCACAGTAATGTCCTCAATTCTGAGGCTCACTGACAAAGCACGGCTTTAAAATAGTCTGCTTGTTCTTTGTCAGGAAAAGTAAGTGTGGTGTTCATTTGTAGGGGGAATTTTGAAGCAATATACTCAACTTCTTGAGTTTCTCTTCATTAGAACTAATTTTTTAATGTTTTATTTTTGATTGATATACTCACGAGAAGTTGTAAAAATAGTACTTTAAAGTCTTGCAAACCCTTCCCCCAGTAGGGATATCTTCTAACTGTAGTATACTATCAAAACCAGGTAATTGACATTGGTACAGTACTATTAACTGGTCTGCTATTAACTGGAAGAGACTTTTGCAGTTTTTATTCAGTTTTCACCAACTTTATATGCACCATTTGTGTGTTTATAGTTCTGTGCAATTTAATCCTCTGTATAGATTTGTGTAACCACCACCGCAATCAAGATACAGAATTGTTCCATTACTAGAAAAGAACTCCCTCTGCTGCCCCTTTATAGTCATACCCACCTCCCCACACCCATCCTTGTCCCCAGCAACCACTAATTTGTTTTCCATCTCTATACTTTTGTTATTTTAAGAATGCTATGTAAATGGAATCATAGAGTATGTAACCATTTAAGATTGGCTTTTTTCACTAAATAGAATGCCCTTGAAATCCATCCAAGTTGTTGCGTCTAGCAATAGTTTATTCCTTTTTGCTGCTGAGTAGTATTCCATTGTATGGATGTACCAGACTTTGTTAAACCATTTACCCACTGAAGAACATTTGGGTGGTTTCTGGTTTTAGCTGTTATGAGTAAAGTTGCTGTAAACAGTTGTGTACATGCAAGTTTTCACTTCTCTAGGGTCAGTGCACAAGAACGCAATTGCTGGATTGTATGGTAAGTATATGTTTAGGTTTATAAGAAACTGCCAAACTATTTTCCAGGGTAGCTGTGCCATTTTACATTCCCACCAGAAAACGTTTACAGGTTTTATTAACGTGTATCCCAAGAGATTTTCACCTATGTTTTCTTCCAGAAGTTTTATGATTTTTAGCTTTTTTATTTAGGTCTGTGATGCATTTATTTAACCTGTGGTTCCTGTAAATAAAAGGTCTTGACTCAGAACTTACTGGCTTTTAGTTCAAGATATTAATCAAACCTGCAAACCTACCCCAGCCAAACCAATTACAGGGAATCTGCCTGCCTTTGGAGAAGCAAGTATTGTAAACTACCACTTTTCTCCTCGTCTATTCTTCCCCTTTAGCTTAATAAGCATGGTTTTAGGTGCCCTTCAGTTTTTGGGCAAGGGGAGACAGAAAGGAGAACGGTGGTAAGAAAGTTCTAGTACTATCTTAGCCTTCCGTAACACTCCCTGAGCCTGGCAGATGTTTAAAGCTGACTCTTCTATTATAGGGTCTTTGGGGAATTCTTCACAAATGTCTCATCTCTGAGGAGCTATCACCTATGGTTTTATTGAGTTTGGCAGGTACATTTCTCTTCCAGGTGTTCACTTGCAGCTCCTTTCGCAGTTTCTAGGAAGGAATTCTTGCAGTTGTGGTCTCTTCACCCTTGCAGTCCTCTAGTCCACAGGAGATATCCACACATCCTTTGCCCTGACAAACCTCCTAGGAGTGCGGGCTAATCCAAAAGCATCAACTCTCTCAGGCTCTGCCACCAGCAGTTAGTCATTTCTCATCATCTAGATTTCCCAGATAAAATCAAACTTCACCCTTTCTGCATTCCATACCCATATCCCATAGGGGACAGGAGGTTGAGCCTCACAGCTTTCTCCGAAAAATCTCTCTCACAAAATCCCTTCCCTTCTCTATTCTCTAACCACTTTTTATAGTCTTATTCTGAGGGGTTCAAGGTAATAGAACTGGTTCCAAACATTTCCTTTGTTTTACAGTTTATCTGGTACTTCACTGTGGTATACAACATCTCTTTTATCTTAGTGTCTCAATTGAAACTTCAGTTTTAATATTTCATCACATATGTATATAATACTTTCATTAATCTACGGTCCTTAGCATAATGAACAAAATGCAACATAACACTGTGCTTCCCTAACTCTCAGCATTATCTCCTACCACTCCTACCAAAGGTCTGTCATTTACTTACCATACTGTTTTGTATTTCTCTGCTTTTGAGCTTGCTGCCCTCTCTATCCCAAATATCATTTCCTATTCCTACACCCTGTCCTTTGTCAGGCTTACTTCTAATTCATACTCATGCAACAAAACCCAAGTCAGGAGTCATGTGCTCCCTGACTTCTTTTCCTTGTTCTTCCCATACACCATTCTAAACTAAGCACCTACCCTACGTACTTACCCTGGCCAACTGCATATCCCGTATTATAGGACTAACTACTTTCTATTGAATTTATCTTTTCATGTCTCCGCTTACTGTAGCAGATTGGAAACTCCTTGAGGGTACAAACAATCTTTCTATCCCATTCCTTAGTACAACGCCTGTACTATTAAGGAACTTAATTTTTGTTGGCCTGAAACAGAAGGGAAGAGTCCAAACAAATTCTAGATAATAAACAATAATCTTTTTCAATATGATGTACTTGGATAGAATGACAACTTCTCAGAAATTATTGGATTCCAGGCCACTAATTAATCAATACAGTTTAGCTATAGATTATAGAATTTCCCTTACCAATGTTTACTGCTATGGTCCAATTAAAAGTCCCTTAGTTTTGTGAACTGTAGTCCAGTTAAAGTTTCTTATTGTATCGTGATAACATCTTAAATTCATTAGAATGCTTTATCTTAATAGAAAAAAATTATTTCCATACATTTATTCCTTCTGTTTTCATGTTCTTCTAGCAAAGAATATATTCAAGAAAATAGCTATCCTGATCTCAACCAGATGAATAATTTACATAACATGAGCTACTGCATGTCGTATCACTGTAAAAAAGCTCTATGTCTATGGTATTAGTCCCATTTGTATGGAACTGTAGTTTATGAGATATTTCTGAAATGATGGATTGTTGCATTTGATTATCATAATAACTGTGTGATGTATAGGAAGAGAAATCATTATCCACGTTTTACAAATGAGATAACCAAGGTTCAGAAAGAAAGAATTATTTGTTCCTCATCACATAGCTAGTGAGCAGTTGAGCTGATGTGAATGTGCGGGGCTTTGGCTCCAAGTTCAGTGACTTTTCCATTATACCCTTTGTTGCATGTGTTGATAGGAATCATAACTTTCCGAGAAGGTCATTGAGAAAGAAGGAAAAATCAAAGGTAAAAATCACACACACCTACATACACACAAACATACTCCAAACAACACCTCTTAATGAAAGTGGAATACTATGCAGTAATAATTAATAAGTCAATTTATGGTCATAATATTTCCACAGTTTGGTAAAATGTAAAGCTAACTCCCTACTGTACTCCTTTCATTCCTCCTTCCCCTTCAAATCCAAATGGATTGGATGAAAAGTTAAAAACACTAAAAGAAAATATAGCTAGATTTCTTATGGTCTTAGAATGAAAGAACTCTTCCTAAGCATAAACTGGGGAAAACAATTAGAAATATAACAGAAAAGTGCTAATTTACTTACTATACAAAGAGCATTCACTATAAATCGTTTAAAATATGATATAGTAGTTCTTAACTCACAGAAAAAGAAACTGAGATTGCCAATAAACATGTTAAAATGTCCTTAACCTCATAAGTAAAGAAATGCATATTAAATAATGAAATACCATTTTTTACCAATTATACTGGCAAAGATTTTTGAAGTTCAGCCATGTCCCATTTTGGTGATAGCATATAGAAACATACACTGTTGGTAGGAGTTTAAATTGATGCCATCTTTTATGGAGGAGAATTTATCAATATCAAAATTTTAAATGTATATGCCCTTTGATCTAGCACTTTCATATGAGTACATGTACATAAAGATATATGTGCTGAGATACTTTCTAAACCTGGGTGGTAATCACAAAAAAAGAAAAGAAAGACTTAAGTGGTCATCAGGGACTGATTAAACTACTCCAGACCTATATAAGGGAATACTTTGTGGTCACTAAAAAGAGGTGAGTTATATCTATATGTTCCAGCATGGACAAGAGTCAAAAATACAGTGTTAAGGAAAAAAGGTTTTGTAGAATCTCATTTGTGTGTGTGTGTGTGTATTTGGTTGTCTATGTATAAACTATTTATGAGAGGGGACACAAAAATTGTTAATAGTATTTTCTATAGGAGATTAAGGGAAGTACCCTTATTTATATTCTTCACCTTCTATCCTCCTGAGCTCTTGGAATTTATTACCAAGAGCACTTATTACTTTAAGGCGAAAAAATGTTTAATTAGAAGAAAACCTCCTACAACCCCATTTCAGCCTTATGTCTCCTTCTAGTTATTTCCCAGTTGCCACCCCTTCACTGTCCGACTTCATGAGTTAGTCTCTGCTTTCTCACTTCCTATTCATTTTCTCAGCCCCCCGCAATCTCATTTTTGTCCTCATGACTTCCCTGAAACCGCTCTTGCCAAAGTCTCCAGTTATCTCTCGGTTCATATGTCTGGTGTCTACCATAAATATTTCAACACACTTGATCTTCTACAGCAATGGACAGTCCACCCTTCTTGAGAGCTCTCTTCCTTGGGCTTTTATGATACTTGAGTCTCCTGGTTTTCTTTCTGTCTTTCAAATTGTTAAGTCTCTTTTGTCATTTTTGTATATTTACGTGGTAGTATTCCTCAGCTTATTTTCTTAGGACCTTCTCTTGGTCTGCATGTTCTCTTTCAGAATTCACATTGTCTTAGTCCGTTCCGGCTGCTATAACAAAATACCATAGACTATAGATGGCTTATAATCAAGAGAAATTTATGTCTCACGGTTCTGAAGGCTGGGAAGTCCAAAGTCAAGGCTCTAGCAGATTCACTGTCTGGTGGGGATCTGCTTCCTGGTTCAAAAGACTGACTTTTGGCTGTGTCCTGACATGGGGGAACGGTTGAGGATCTCTCCAGGGTCTATTTCATAAAGGCACTGATCCAACTCATGAGGGCTCCACCCTCACGACCTAATCACCTCCCAAAGGTCACACCTCCAAATACTATCATATTGGAGATTAGAATTTCAATATAAATTGGGGGGGGGAGGGGTACACAAACATTCACTCTGTAGCACACTCCCACAGGAACCTCAAACTTAACTTGTCCAACACTTGCTTTCATTTCTGCCCTCTCCTCAAAAAGCATTGCCTCTCATTTCCCATCTCTGTAAAAGACATCATCATCTTTCTACCCAGTGGCTCATCCTTGACTGTACCCTCTCCCTGATACCTGCAACATTTCCCGTCATTAAGGCCTATTTACCTCCTAATTATCTCTCAACTCTATCTACTTCTTCCCCTCTTCTGCTGCTCTAGTTTATGCTCTTTACTCAGGTTACCCCATAATCTGTGAACTAGTCTTTAAGTCTTTCATTTTTTCTCTCCCCTCTCTGTGTACCCCTCACTTTTTCCACTCCTTAGAGAAAGTACTCTTACTGAGACACACATCTGATCATGTCATTCCCTCTCCACCACCCAAAACCTTTCTATGTCCACTGGTCTTGTGATCAAGTTGAAATACCCACAGTACTATACGTTCTATCATGGTTTCTGTCAAGCCTCATTATTCCCCACCCCTCTTCTCTTAGCCCCAACAAACATCCATACTGCACCAGAGCCACACCGCTGAACTCTCATTTTCTCAAACACCCTAGTATACTTTCACTACGGGCCTTCTCACATGCTAGCCATTCCCTCTAGAACTCTCACTACCTCTGCATCTGCATATAGCTAACTCCACCTCATCCTTCAAGTCACAACTTCATATTACCTTTTTTCTAAGAAACTTTCTCTGAATCCCCAATTTAAGATCTAGGGCCCCTACTAAGTGCTCACAGAGCCTCTTTTGCATCCTTTTTCATAGGTTTTATCACATTATATTATAATGGATTAACTCACTAGATTATAAGCTGTGTTTGAGTACAAGGACCATGTACTCACCGTTGTATTCCTTACATTTATCTCTAGTATAGTGCCTGACACATAATGTATACCAAGTAATTATTGGGGATAGGTGGATTCATACATATTTTCATTTATTCAGCCAAATGAGAAACTAATGTGAAAGCAAATAGTCATGAGTTTAGGAATGATTAAGAAGTACATGTCATTGAACTCCATCAGTTTTTTTCTCTTTTATTCTCCTTTTACTCATACTTAATTTTATGGCAATAATGAGACTAAAAGTCTAACTAAATTCAGAAAAAGTGAAAGAAAAGTTATTAGCCTTTCCACTCACTCTTTAACTAGTAAGTGTATTAGTTGAGTTGATTTGTGAATGTGGTTTGATCTAGTTTCATGGAATTTTTAAAATTCAATATAGTTGTGTTTATATTTAATTTGTTTAACAGGCACTGGTATATTACATTCCGTTTGCAATTTAAGAACAAAAGAAAAGGGTGTATTACAACATGGTAGTTTCTGTAAAGAGATTGTTGCCTAGTGTGTGTCATACTGGACACTAGTTGAGTTTTCTGCCCTCCAGGTCACATTTTAATATTTATAATCTTGCCTTCCTTCTATGTCTGCCTTCAGTGTATATATACATGTTTATGTGCCAAAATAGGTTGAATGTCATTTTCGTCTATGATGATAAATTTCCTTACCATGAATTTGTTCATTTTAAGTGACAACTCGGGCTGACAAATATTCTTCTTTCCCATTAGCAGCTGAACTCGTTAGACCATCCTGTCTAGAGTCTGAGAGCAGAGAAAGGGAAGATTAGCAGGATGTGTTATGTTTCCATAAATAGCTTTTGTGTGAGTGGTTGTATGGTATAATTCTTTAAACTAACGTACTAATCAGTGAGTAATATAAGCAGTAGGGACTGGCCTTAACTGCAGCAGGTAAATCACTGCAACCAGCCTGTCAGGATCTTCAGGGAGGACATTTTTTAGCACACAAGTAGAACTCTGGTGAATGAGCTCTAATTTATCTTTATTTTTTAATCCAAGGAGGGAAACCTTTAAAATTACAGTACAGGAAAGGATCTACTCTTTCAAACAGAAAACAGAAATCCTATGTTTTCACAGATACCAGGCTGAAAAACAATAAAATCTGAGGAGCAAGTAAAGCTACATTTTTCCCAAAGTGAGATCTCAGATGCAGTTTTTAAAAAACTGATTAGACTTTATGTAAATTTTTTGGTAGAATATTAGGGTACTGAATTTTGTTAATTACTACCTGGGAAATTTCAAACAAGGTTATAAAGTGTCTTTGGAATACATATTAGTGAATACAAGCATATATTGCTGCACCCAGCTTATGGCTGAGCTGTCTCTTCAAGAATTCAGTGCAGTGGTCTGGAATCCTAACTGCCAAGCCAAGCAGAAATTCACCTGCTCTGGAGTATAGGATTTTGTGTGGCAATAAGCATTTTTAATTAAAAGTTTCCCAAATTTGGAACTGATGGAACTGAATCTGTAAACATGTGGCACATTGAGCTAGCACATCCAAGCACTATTGGCGCTTTGGAGGAAATATGGCTTTTAAAAAAATTGGATGGTTAAGCTGAGAAAAATCCAGCTGTGTTTTACTTAACATTGCACTAATCAGAGTTCTTTGACTCCTTTTTCTTTTTCTTCATCAGTGTTTCCACTGGTGTGTGTGTTGGCTCCCAATCCACCAACCCTTCGCTTTTGTCTTTTAAGACTGATTTCAGATAGGGATTTGGTTAAAGCAATATAATACCAATTCACTGTAGTGAGTAATAGAAAGCCCTTCCTGCCTTGCAGTTTATATCTTAAAGAGGTCAAAAGCAGCAGGTAATCTTCATCAGCAAAGCAATTACCTTTTTAACCCTTACCTATCACATTGCTAGAGGTCCTCAAGTTTACACAGAAATCAAAATTGTCTGCTGACCTTAAAACAAAAATGTAAAGAATATGGTGTTCCTTAATTAGAAGTAAAATTGCTTCTGGGAAGCAGTTTCCCAATTAAACCAAGAAATAATCATATTGCAGCCCTGAATTATTCTTACATGGTATTTGGGATGATGAGGATTTGGGGATGAGGGTGCAAGGGTCGGGAAGAGAAGTAGTCAGGAAGGGCCAGTAGTCAAGGGATTCTCGATATCCACTTTGGGGCAGGGTTCCTTGGTGAAGACTGTTGTCAGATTGGACTGAGAAGAGTTGTCTGAGTTGTCTTAAACTTGTATCATTCTCTCAATAAATCCACATTCTACTTTCCATTCGAGAAGTAAACTGTAGTGCCATACAAAGCTGCTAAAACGCTCTACTTAGCAGATCTAAGAAAGATCAATTCATATGAAGGTACAGGAGGAGGTAAATATGATTTAGAGAGGATTTGGGGTTACTAATGCTATTATATGGAAATAGTTGCACAGATAATGCCTCCCCCCCAAGGCCATTCCCAGGCCGCTTGATCTTCCTGTTTACTGTAATCCTGCTTCTCTGGGAATTACTTCTGTCTTCTCTGAGACGCTTTCTTCCCAATACAGGAAGGGCTTGCTTATTTATTCAGTGTAATGTTGAACATATTAGTGACTTTAGTGTTCAATTCATGGGTATGTGAGTGTAGGTGTGTATTTACACGCATACATGCATAAATGCTGAATAGGAGATTCTGAACTATGTATTAATAATTGAAATTTCAGTAACTAGAAAGAGTTTCGAATCCTGTTTCCTGAGGACTTGGTTGTAATATCTGTTTATGGCTGCACTTGGAAGTTAGACCTGAGTGTTGAAATGAAATGTGTTCAGCGTTAGAAATACAGTGAATAAAGAACTTTATCCAACTTTCTGTAAAAGGGAAAAAGACAATGTGTCACCAAATAAGTTAATGCAGAATAGTACCTAGGAATATTAAACTAGGATAAGCACTGCAAAAGAAATAGAACAGATGTGAGAGGAAGATTGTACTTGCAAGGTGGGATGTAGCCAGCACTCTCTAGTAGGGGCCTGGGAATCATACAGGAAGCAAGCTAAAGCTTCTCAGCTTTGTCCTCTAGGAGAGTTAAGAGATTCTCCTCCACCCCCAGAGTTGCCTCAGTTTTCTCCTACAGCCTCTGACTGAGAAATTGTTAATGGGAGTGGGTAGGAGCTTTGCCGTTTCTTCCTTTCTGTCTTAAAATGGTCACGTTTGCAGAGCATGTTCCTTGAGTCCTTTAAGCGGCAGCTTCTCCCTGCTGCCTTTAGCTCTAATCTCTTTATAGGTGTAGCACCATGGCAACAGGCCCAGCCTAGAGCCCAGGAACCTTGTTTGTGTTACCTGAGGGGCTGGATGCAGCCTGAGGAAGAGAAGAAGGAATATTACCTATCCTGCAGCCTATTTGGAAGATGACTTCAAGTTCTGTTGTTTGTGTTTCCGTTCTGCTTCTATTGAAGACTTGAAATTATACCTGCAAAACATTTATCCAAAGATGTTATCGGTAACCGAAGGCAGCAACTTCTATTGGTTCTTGTTTAAACAGAGAGTTCTTTTCTGAGATGTAGTTCAGAAAGTGACTTGCTATACCGTGACATGTGGCACCACCATGATTTGGGGTTGCACTGCCAGGTGGCTGTATAATTGCTTCATGTAGGTAGACATTTATTTTATTTGAAATAAAATTAATTTATGTTTTAGAATATTTTCCTAGAGAATTTTAAAAATACAAGTAATAAGCCTTTTGTCATACCTCCTTCTATTTAAATGTGCCTTCATCTTTCCTGTTGAGAGGCTCACTCTCAGAGCATGAGAGGCTTTTCCCCTCCAAGGAACTCTTCCTGGGAAAAATGGGCTGGAATTGTTATTTTCTGTGTGTTTAAGAAAGATTACAGTATCCTGTTGCCTCGACCCAGCTGCCTATCAAGCATATTGGGCAAGGCTGTATGGTAATTACATTAAAGTAATAAAATTGCTTTAGCGTTTAGTTATTTATAGATGATGTGATGTGTTTATGGTATATAACATGTCATTGTCTTATCCAATAGAACAAAAGTAAATCAATGTGGAGCTGTTATATTGTTATATTTTTATGTACAAAACATTAAGTGGCTTTTGTGCATGCTTTGTATTAACAATGGTAAATATAATTATTGTCTCTTTGACCTTAAAAAGACAGCTGAATATCAGAACACACATTTTTCAGCCTAACCATTAAATGGGGGTTGGTTTTTTTGAGTGTGGAAAGAACGGACTAAAATCCTAAGCTTCAGATGCTTCTTACTGTATGGAGTTTGATTAAACAATGTTAGAATGGAAATAGAAGGGAAAGGGCAGCCTTTAGTGCTAGTTTCCTTTATCTCATTACTTTATAATTTAAGTGAAAGCTACTCTGGCATTAAGTATTTCAATTCCTTTTAATGCTAATGTGGTTATTTCAAGGAAGTGAATGAAGCTGCTTATTTAGTTTGTTTTACAAAAACAAATGTCTTAACACAAGACATTTCTTTATCCCTATTACTAGGTACTTCTGCTTCAAATATATGTATTTAACTCTGGGTGTTTCAGTCAATAAATACTACAATTATTGAGTAAAACTGCATGGCTATCCAGTTCTGGATTTAAGAATATTCTGCTTTATATTGTTTGATTTCGTTAATTCTTCCAAGGGGAAGGCAGTGAAGTACTAGCTCCTGTAGTGACAAGAATCATGATTCCTAGTATTGTTTTTTAAACAACTAGGAAACAAAATCAACCAGGATGCCTGAATGGTGTTGACAAAGATCTGTTCTTCTAGATGAGAGTTTGAACATTTCATTTGAGGGTGGGAGGTTTCTTCCAGGCACTTTATTCTTTATTCATATTTATGTAATAAGGCATGGATAGAACCAAAAGCTTGCCAGAAAAGGATTCCATATTGAAATGGAAATCAGACCTTTTGAAAGGCGGGGTCTTGTGCTGAAAAGTTTGGCTTTGACTCTCTGTGTGTATGTCTGTTTATTCCACCAAAGCAGAAAGAAACAGAATGGGGATTCAGCCACTACTATTTTGTCAATGATAGAAGAGGATAAAGCTATCACATGAAAAAAAAGAAAAGAAATAACATTTCTTTTGATAATACCTTTGCATAAAAAAGAATGTATAACATAACCTTGAATAGTATATATTTCTCCATCTCAAAGATAGGAATGAGGAGAAAAACAATGTTTGTGGTGGAACTTTGAGCTTTCTTGAATCTAGTAAAATTATAGTACACTTTGTGCTTTATTGAAAACAACAGTGCGTGTGTGTACACACACCAATATATAATGTATATGGTTTATATGTGCCACATGAATATAGTTACTGTTATTATTGTTATAGATGAACTATTAATTTGCTCCTTGTTTATTTTTCCCTTTGGCATTTATACATTTGTTGTTAGCCTCCATTGTGTTAGACCTTCATTTCCTCCTTGGCCAAGTAGTTACACTATTGTAAATATCTTTTTCTTCTTGTAGGTCTCGTGGGCTGCCTAAACTAAAGGAGTCACGTTCCCATGAATCCTTGCTGAGCCCATGCAGTGCGGTGGAGTGTCTTGATCTTGGTAGAGGAGAGCCTGTATCAGTGAAACCACTCCATAGCAGCATCCTTGGACAAGACTTCTGCTTTGAGGTAAAAAAGTATAGAAAGAAGGAAGAGTAAACAACAAGCATTTTGTTTTACAAGTCTTACTGGATAAGATTTTCTATCCAGTGATTTTGTGATTTGATTACTGTAGTGTTAATGATTTGATCATCTTAACTGGTTTTCAGTTGTTAAAAACTACCTACTTACAGGGAAAAAGTTGGAAATCTATTAATCTAATTATATTGGTTATTATAATATAAAGTTATATATATAACTATTAAACTTTAATATATATAATAGTTATTATACATAAAGTTATTAATGATGGCTTCTCATTCCTTTTAGCCTAGTCTGCTTCAAGATAAATGGGTTCTTAGTACCTTCTCAGCAGAGGTCACAAGATTAACAACTTATTAAATTGGTATTTTAATTTTTTAATATTGATGAAGATATCACCCAATATGTTTTTATTTTTCTCTTGAAAGCATAAGCCCCTGATTTTAATGATTCCTTGAGGAAATTGACCAAAACCATAATTTTTCTAACTAAAACATGGGCAGTTTGAGATTTGGGACTATGTCTTCTTTATTTTTTTAATCCTCTGCACCTAGCCCAGTCCCTGGCACATTGCAGGTGCCTAATTTCTTGAAAGAACAAATTGCTCTTCACCAGAAAATTATGACTCTTACTTTTTATGAGGTAATTTCTCCCTCCCAAATTAGATGTACACAATCGGCCATTTGCAAATTAAATTTTAAAATAATATATGTAATTGTTAGGGTTAGGATTTGATTAATTAACACAAACTTACTAAGTAACTAGTGATCAATCCTATGGTAGATGCTGTAGAAGTTGAAAAATGTTTGATTCCTGTTCTTATGGACCTGCAGTATCCAACAGAAATATAAAGCAAGCCACATACATAATTTTAAATTTTAGTAAACCCAAATATTATCATTTCAACATATAACTAATATAAAGTTGTCCATGAGATTTTTTACATTCTTCTTTTTTTTTTTTAACTAAGTCTTCAACATCTGATATGTATTTTACACTTAGAGCACATCTCCATTTGGGCTAGCTACATTTCAGATGCTCACTAGCCACTTGTGGCTAGTAGCTACCACATAATCTGACCTGATTCATTAAGTTATAATCTGAGATTGAGTTAGTATGTGAGCACATTTCAGCAATTTGGACAGGTCATTTCTTGGTGTTCTTTTCTATAAAAGTCACTTGAAGGTTCCCATATTTGTGGAGCTCGGTTCAGCATGTTGTATACCAGGCCCAGTGTTAGCTGCTAGGCATATAGACAACATGTTTCATTTTTAAAGGACAGTGATAGTAATTGCCAGGCTAACATAATAAATGACTAGAAATCAACAGATTTGTTGCCTAGTGGAGTAGAAACGGATTCCAAAGACAGTAATTCATTACTGGTAACTCTTTTCACCTTGATTTAGTAGCCTCCATAATATTGTAAGTGAAGGCAATCCTGAGAAATTTGATAAGCTATTTTAGAGACTGTCTTCCCTTTTTTAGTTATTTTCTATTAACTCACTTAGAATTGAGTATATTCATTTGCAGGTAGTTTAAGATGTGGCCTGAAAGATTTTTACTTTTGATCTTTTTGAATTGTAGGCAGGTTTTAGCTTCCTGAACTGAATTCTCAATGGCCTTTGTTCTCATACCTGGAGATGAGTGTGCATATTACCTAGATAACAAAGCAAAAAGCCAATGTAGATGTAGATATAGATATCACAAAACTAGCACTTATCGTTTTGGTTTCATGTAGTATGGTTTATCTTCATGGCATATCCCTAACTCTTAAATGATACAACTAGGTTTCCCATACTTATCTCTAATCTTTATGTTGAAGGTTACCTACTTAAGTGGAAGTAAATGCTTCAGCTGTAACTCTGCTTCAGAGAGAGATAAGTGGATGGAAAACCTTCGCAGGACAGTTCAACCAAATAAGGTAATAGTGGCTTTGTGTGTCTAAAAAATGTATAATTCTGCAAGCAGTAAGTTGATAGAAGATAAATACAGTAAGAATACCTTAATTTTTATATAGTTTTTAAAACACATTTACATATTATGCTATTTTATGCTCAAAATAATCTTGTTGCAGATATTGTCATGCTACCAGTGTGGATAAGAAGACTCAGAAGTTAAGTGACTTACCCAAGTCAGAAGCTAGTGAATGATAGAAATGGGACTAGAACACAAGTGTCTTAACTACTTACCTCTATTTTATTTGCTGAAAGTAGTCCAGTTGCTGCTAGGCTAGCTTTATGAGAACTTACATGACAAGATATTTTTTTAACTGAAGTAAAATAGAATGTATGTGGCTTTCTAAGATTCTGATACATTCTTGTTTAGAGCTTGCCATTATTGTGAACAATGAGGTAAGAATCCCTTTTATTATTTATTGACTACTCTTAATAAAGCACATAGTCAGCATCACCTACTTTAAGAGGAAAATGTTGTCTGAGATTTCAGCTCTCAAACTCAACTTTGTTACTTCCTTATAGGACAATTGCAGACGAGCTGAAAATGTTCTTCGTTTATGGATCATTGAAGCCAAGGACCTTGCCCCTAAAAAGAAATATTTCTGTGAACTGTGCCTTGATGATACCCTCTTCGCTCGTACAACCAGCAAGACCAAAGCAGACAATATTTTCTGGGGTGAACATTTTGAATTCTACAGCCTTCCACCTCTTCATAGCATCACAGTTCACATTTATAAAGATGTGGAAAAAAAGAAGAAAAAAGACAAGAATAATTATGTAGGGCTAGTCAACATCCCCACTGCCAGTGTCACTGGTCGCCAATTTGTAGAAAAGTGGTATCCTGTGAGTACACCTACACCCAACAAAGGAAAGACGGGAGGACCTTCTATTCGAATTAAATCACGTTTCCAGACTATCACCATTCTGCCTATGGAGCAATACAAAGAATTTGCAGAATTTGTCACCAGCAACTATACCATGCTGTGTTCTGTCCTTGAACCAGTAATTAGTGTGAGAAATAAAGAAGAATTAGCCTGTGCCTTAGTGCACATTCTTCAGAGTACTGGCAGAGCCAAGGTAAGTGGAAAAGGAGATTGTATTACCCCAAATCTCTTCCCTACACTTTATGAAGAAACAAACATGTTTGTTTTACTGTAAAGAGCCAAATTAGAGAAATATGCTTTGCTGTTGGTCAGAAAAAAAGAATTAGGAAGGAACCCTATTAGCAGTTCTTCGATCAGAAAAGATGGGGATTATAAAACTAAAAAAGTAAAACGGAGAGACCAACAAATACTTATTTAAATTCCATTTGTATGAAATATGGATACCATAGCTAGCTCTTTATTGTCTGATGAAATAAATGTAGGATTGGCGTGATAATCCCACACTGCGTTCAAGATTGTTTGTCTTTAGTTCTAGAGTGTGTTGTATTGTGGTTTTACTCCTTACTATATTTTAGGTTAAGATTAATTGATGACTATATCCCTTGGTCACAGAAGGAGGTATTCCAGAAGTATGCTGGGCGTTATCAAGAATCTTCATAGGATTAAAATCTAAATTTTGAATTAAAATAGCAAGGGATGTTATATAATTGGTAGCTGTTTCATGATAGCCTTAACTTGTTTCATCTTGGATACAAGTAAAAATTCAGGAAGATGGAAAAAGAGAAATATGCTAATCATAAGAAGAAGACCAGTCAATTGATAGTGTCTTTGATAGGCCTGAACTTTGAGGCATATTCACTTAACTAGACTGAGTCTCCATTATATTATTTTATATGCAAATTGATTGTGGTAAAATTTATTTTAGATCTAGAGGAGTTCACAGCTAGAATAATTTATTTAGAACCAAACAGTAAAGTTAAGTGCTTTTAAGTTTTCTTGATACAAATCAGAATATATCAACATATTCAGTAGTTAGTTCCTTTTCTAACTGCCTTCCTCTTGATTTATCATTCTTGTGGTTGAATTTACCGATGATAATTTTGAGCTCTCTGGTGTTAAAAAAAAAAGCCTATAAGTTTGAGGTGAGATGTCATTGGAATTTTGAGTCTCATCTTTGAAATTGTACGGATATGGTCATTCTGCTCTTCAGTTGCTCAAGGTTCAAGGGTTTATGTAGGATTTTTTTAACAACTTTATTGAGGTGCAATTTTCATATAATAAACTTCACCCATTTAAAGTGTAAAATTCGATGAGTTTTGACAGATTATACATAGACCCGTGGAAACCACAACAATAAGATACAGAATGTTGCCATCATGCCCCAAAGTCTCTTCCTGTCCTGTGACACAAGAGTTTTAATAGTGATTCGTAAGTGTACAACTCTTTTACACTATTGAGCTTCCCCAGAGTAAATCCCATTAATGTGCAAAATGCTTAATTTTAAAGAAAAATAAATCAGCATATCCCCTCTGTTTTTGGTTTTGGAGACTTTGAAATATCCAATGAATTTATAACATTAAAAATATATTATCTCATTTCATACTGAACAACAATAAACATTGAATTTTAAGTTCTTTAAGACTGTTGAGAAATGAAGCAGCTATTTCTTAAGGGCTTTATTTCTCCTTATGCCTTTCTTCTGATGGATGGGTGGACAAATGGATAGATGGAGAGAGATAGAGAGAGTCAGCCTAGAAGATAAGTTCGTGTTAGGTTCAGGAAATTCCACATTGGGGGCAGGCCTGGTGGCGTAATGGTTAAGTTCACGTGAACCACTTCAGCAGCCCGGGGTTTGCAGGTTTGGATCTCAGGCGCAGACCTACACACTGGTCATCAAGCCATGCTGTGAGCATGTCCCATATACAAAGTAGAGGAAGATTGGCACGGATGTTAGCTCAGGGACCATCTTCCTCAAGCAAAAAGAGGAAGATTGGTAAGAGTTGTTAGCTCAGGGCCAATCTTCCTCTCAAACAAATAAAAGAAATTCCACGTTGATACTGTGAACCAATTTGTAACTGTTATATATTGAAAACCTGATATGTGTCAGAAATTGTTAAGTGCTGAAAATGTAGAGGTGAATAAAAATAGACACTGTCTTTGGTCTAATGGGGCTTACAGTATTCTGGGGAAAACAGATATTAATCAAGTAATTACAGAAATGAATGTGTAATTACAGTGAGAAGTGCAGAGAAAAAAAAGATAAATGATGCTATGAGAGTGTGGATTAAGGGGACCTGACTAATGGGGTTCAGGGGCAGTATTGGTCAGAGAAGCCTTCATTGAGGAAATGATGTGCAAACTAAGATCCAAAGGATTCGAGGAATTAACTCCATGACTGTGGGGGTGAGAGCAAGGGTAGGAGCAAGGGCAGAACTGAGAACAGCATTTGCAAAAAGCTTTGTAATGAATAGACGATATTGGATGTTAGAAAGAGTTTGATGTATTCAAGGACCTAAAAAGAAGGCCCTTGAAGCTGGAGCAGAATGCAGAAAGAATTGTACAATATGAGGCTGGGAAGGTAGACGGAAACCAGAAAATATAGAGACTTGTACACCGCATTCAGAGTTATGGCCTTTATCAAAAGTGTAGTGGAAAACCTTTGAAGGAATTTTAAACTCAGGAGTAGTGACACCTAGGATTTTATCCTGACTGACTTTTTTCTTTCAAATGAATCTGGTAGCTTTAGTTTTTTTTTTTAGTTTTTTTTATTTAAAGATTTTATTTTTTCCTTTTTCTCCCCAAAGCCCCCCGGTACATAGTTGTGTATTCTTCGTTGTGGGTTCTTCTAGTTGTGGCATGTGGGACGCTGCCTCAGCATGGTCTGATGAGCAGTGCCATGTCCGCGCCCAGGATTCGAACTAACGAAACACTGGGCCGCCTGCAGCGGAGCGCGCGAACTTAACCACTCGGCCACGGGGCCAGCCCCTGGTAGCTTTAGTTTTAAAGCAGCATTCCGAGGATGTCTGATATTTCATCAGTTTCTTCTAATGTATATTATCTATTCAGTTGCTTTCTGCCTGACTGAACATTATTCTACCAGGATTTTCTGACCGATTTGGTGATGTCTGAGGTGGATCGATGTGGAGAGCATGATGTCTTGATCTTCAGAGAGAACACCATTGCCACCAAATCCATTGAGGAATACCTCAAGTTGGTGGGACAACAGTATCTTCATGACGCTTTGGGTATGAAGAAGAAAAACATCTGTTTTCTTTTCTTTCCCTTTTGATTTTAAATTGGTTCACCCTCATAAGACAAACAAATGAAGCTCAAATTCTGCATGTTATTTAGTTGTAGCTGACTAGAGTGTTAAAGTTTGAGTTTCAGCTGTAAGAAGTCTCTGCGGTACTCACCAGTGGGTTACTACAGTATGTACAGAAAGAGAAAGCCCATCAGCTTATGCAGCTACCCCCAGGCCCCCAAGTTCCTGACTCTGAGATACACAGTAATATTAGTGGTTGTCACTACTAGACCTGAGGTGACCTGTTTCCCCCAAAGTGCTGGATATTTATATCATGATATAAATATATTACCTCAGTCTTAAGTGTTAACATTTGTTATCACGCATCAAAATTGAAGAAGTTTGAAGAAAGTTGCCAATTCCCACAACTCCCAATTTCTGCCTTTAAAGACCTCCAGAATTTTTAACAATAACTAATTTTAGTCCAATCAGTAGTCCTTGGGACTAGGCCACTCACTTGCAGTTCCAGATTTCATCATGAAATTGAAGCATTAACCACTAGAGTAAGCTGCTGTGCTGGGCACTTTAATGTAGATCATGATAAAGCCTACAGGAGTTCCTTGAAGAACATAGTCATTTCTTTTACCTCCATATCCCCAGTACTTCACACAGAATGGAGAGCGGCACTATCATGTAGAAACATAATGTGAGTCACATGTGAGCAATTTAAATTTTCTAGTAGTCACGGTATAAAAAGGGTAAAGAGAAACAGATAAAGTTAATTTTAATAACATTTATTTAACTCAATATATCCAAATATTATTTAATAGGTTATCAATATAAAAATTATTTAATGAAGTAGTTTACTTTTCATACTAGTTCTTTGCAATTCAGTCTGTATTTTACATTTATTGCACATTTCGTTGGCACTAGCCACATTTCAAGTGCTCAGCAGTCACATGTGACTACCAAAAGTAGCCAGTAAGGTGTGTTGAGTGAATGGATAGACTTTTGCCTCAAGGAGCTTACAATATAGTGAGATAAGAAAGATAAGGATATCCCTGTAACCAAAAAGGGAGAGAAATCCTGTGGTTTCTCAAAGAATTAAAGAAATTAATTCTAGCTGATGGAATTATAAAATTTCCCGTGTGAAATACATTTGGTAGCTTGACGAATAGAAAGGTTATATAAAAACAGATTGGACAGGGAGGTGGTAGGGAGTAGCATAGGGGAAAGAACCACATGAAAAGAAGGGCAGAGAACCAGGCATGTGTGGAGTAAAACCAGTTAACTGAAAATGAAGTGAAAAAGGCAAATCAACAACAACAACAAAAATGAGAAAAACAGAACAATTTGTTGACAGCCTTGAATGCCTGAGTTTAGATTTTACAGTAATCACTGGCAAGCCATTGAAAGTCTTGAGCAGGGTGTTTTCAATAGAATCAGTATAAGAGAGTGATTAAAATGGGTTGATGAAGAAAGCAACTGAAAGCAGAGAGACCAGTTAAGAAGCTTTGTATTAAGGAAGGCAAGAAATAACGAGACTCTGAATGAGGTAATCACCAAGAGTAAGAGAAAAGGTGGATCTGAGAAATATTAAAGTTGAACTGTTAGGACTTAGTTTGTAGTAACTTAGTTTGTGGTGGGGGGTGAGGAGATCAGATAATATAGTGAATTTGGGGTCTTTGTGAATGACTAGAGGGATGATGAGATTCTTAGAAATAGAGAACATAGAAGTAGTAGGCTTGAAAGATGGGAAATGATATTTCTACTTGACATGTATTCAATTTGAAGTTCTGATAGGAAATCCCAAGACATCTGTCTGGCTGGCTCTTGGAAGGGAGATAAATGAAGCTACAGAATTACCAGAGGAGGAAGAGAACAGAGCCAAAGACAGATCTTACAGAGCATCTGGGTTTATAGTGTAGAAGGAAGAAGAGGTGAGCAGAGAGAGAGAAAATACACACCTGCATGAAAAAAGAAAGAAAGGGGGCTGGCCCCGTGGCTGAGTGGTTAAAGTTCTGCGTGCTCTGCTTCGGCGGCCCAGGTTCATAGGTTCAAATCCCAGGTGTAGACCTACTCCACTCATCAGCCGTGCTGTGTAGGCATCCCACATACAAAATGGAGGAAGATTGGCACAGATGTTAGCTCTGGGCGAATCTTCTTCCCCAAAAAAAAAAGAGAAAGAAAGAAAACTGGGAAAATAACTGAGTCCTAGAGACCAAGAGAGAAGAAAGTATCAATTGAGTCAGAGATTGAGAGAGGTGAAAATAAGAAAAACAGGCTATTCCATTTGGCAACTGAAAGGTCACTAGTGATGGTGGGGACTGTTGTCAGGAGGATAGGAGCTAGGTTGTACAGGGCAAAAAGTGAATGACTGCTCAAGAAATAGGACCACTGTGTTTATGTAAAGCAGATACACTGTAGTGGCAATTAGTTCCTAATCTGGAGAAGTAGATTTTTTTTCTCTTCCTCCTTCCTATCTTCATATTCTTTTCTTTTCGCTAAGTCATGTGCTTTAGTTTAAGATCTAATGAGAATTTATGAGAATAGTGAAAATGGATTTTCATTGACGTTAGGAAAGGTACAGAGAGGTTCATAGTCTCACTTAGATAAAGAGCTTAGTACAGTCATATCATACATTATATCTCATGGTTTGCTTTAATGATTCATATTACCTTATAAAAGGAATGATTAAGCGTTTCAAACAGTATTCTCCATTCTGTAGACATAGGGGTAAGTATATATTGACCACCTACTTCTTAAAAATCAAATACTCATATTCTATCTAATTCAGTGTGCTAAACAGGATTTCCAAATAATTTCCAAAGTAAAAAGTAGGTATAAGTCCTTTGATAGGACAGTTAATAATTAGCTAATTGGCTCAACAAGACATGAAAATTAATTCAATGAGCATAGGAAGAAATTCATGTAACCCCACAAAGATCTCTATTATCGTATTTGTAACCCAAGAACAAGGGCCACAGTGGTGAAAATGACTGCTGCTTCCAAGAGCATAAACAAAATTAATTGGTAAGTTTCTTCAGGATAGAGATTCTCCTGTCTTCTTCCCATATTTCTAATTAGCCTTAACATTTTAGATTCTCAATGGCTGTTTTTTCTCCTACATTTTACTTTTATGACAGAAATCCTATTTTGAAAACAACTTACAGAATGCATCTTGGAGCCAGTGTAAATTCACACTTATTTTATATGATTCAATATAGTAGTAAGTGATTTTTCAAATAGTAACCCTGAAGAACTGCAGAATTTTCAGTTACCTGAGAAAGATTCAATTATTTTCATTGTACGATACTGTACTTGCTATGGCAGAAGCCTCTAATAATACAATTGAGGAAGATTTCATAAGTATTAAATAAAATGGCCTTCACAGTAAAGTCTCAGTAAACAAAAAAATTAAATTAGTAAGTACAGTTGAGCACACTGAATAAAGTTTTGTTATATTTTGTGCATTTTGGGCAAAAAAAATAGATGCTATTTCCAGACTGCCTGAAGAATTCTCAGAGAAAATTCAGTTAAAAGTTGCCAGTCATATTATACAATATCTACCTGCTTTTTAGCCGGTCCTCATTTATCTTGATTAAAAGCATTACTCTTCACTGAACAGATTCTGCCTCAGTTAGACTTAAATTAAACCTTCCATCTCTTAACCCCTTTTACCTTTCTGATTGAAATCAGATTGCATGTTGATGTCCTGTGAGATACAGGAAATACCGTCTGTGAGATATAAAAAAGAAGTCCCTAAAAAGGCCTGATTTCCATCCTTGGGGCAGAGGCAAATTTAGTTTTGGCAATAATATATCCTTACCTATTTACTTTCTTCTACACATGCATTTGGATGCTAGATAGTAATGAGTGAATGATTTACACAGAAAACATACCATAGAACATCGTAGGCACAAACTCACATTTAAACAACATAGTGAGTACCCACCCCCTTTGGCTCTGATTTTTTTTAAAGGCAAGAGAGCAAACATAAATGAATTATTGAATCTGTCTCAATAACTTTTGATCACGTAAGGAGCTTCTAGGTACAAATCTATAAAAGGTTCACCTTTCAATGTGGTACCTTCTACGTCATCAGATGTAGATTATAGTTTTAAAAGTGAAAATATTTTTCTCAATTTTGGAGGATGTTAAATATATCATAATCAGATTAAAAAAACCTTTATAAAACAATTTAGTTGTGGACCCATGAGTTATTTGTTTGTCTCTTTTCTTGAAGAATAAAAGAAAAATATTCTTAAAATTCATGAGTTATTTGTTATTAGTAGTATTGTTTCCCTAGAATAGGTATAACCTTAAGGAACTCACTAAACGGGATATTTATGATATAAATTTAGAGACGGGCCAGTTTTTACATGCAGGATTTGACTTTGATGACTTAGTTTTAAATTTAGATACTTTTTAAATGCGGTAAATTGTGTGGAAGCACATAGCATAAGGAGACATGGAGAACATGTTGAATACAAATCTTAGGAAAATTGGTAAACATTTTTAAAAGTCTTTTACTAATTTTGGTCATTTCACTTGATGAAAAGTTATTTTAAAATTGCGCAGTTTGTACATAATGATACTTATTGTATGGAGCCCCTACTAAGTGCTGGGCACCATATCAGACACTTTTCGTTTAGTGCAATATTTCTGATTCTCACCACACTCTATAGGGTGGCAGTTATTAATGTCATTTTACAAATAAGGCAGCTGAAACTCAGACTAGTTAAGTGACTTTTCAAAACCTCACAGTCAGTTAAGTGACAGGTCCAGGATTTGATCCTAGATGTCTGGCTCCAAAGCCTTTACTTTCTCTGTGTACCACTTAGTTTCCTGTTCTTCAAGCATTTTGCTTCGAAATAATTGCTTCCCATCCTCTATGATAACTATTTTTTAAATCCTTCATTTACCTCAGTATTAACCATTTTAATAGAAAATGCTCTTTATATTGCTGCTACTACTTAATTTTGCAGAAATTATTGTTCTCTTTCATGAAATCTGTTATAACAAGCCTGGACCACAAGTAATATAAGCAGATTTGAAAGAATCTCTGAAAGATCTTACTCCTCTTTTATAAAGACCTATAAAAACCCAAGAATGCATACTATCATCTCTGATAAATATTTATTAAACACCTGCAATGCTTTGGGAGCTATTTGATAGGCTGGAGATTTGAACATGAATAAAACCTGGTCCCTGACCTCCAAGAGTATTCATGCTAGAGATGAGATAGATGTGTGGACAAATAAGCACAAAGTAGTGTGAAACATGGAGGAGTAGAGCATATACAAGGTATAGTGTATAGTGGAGGTTTAACAGGTGAGGTAAGAATTGGTTCTTTCAGGGAATATTGGACATATCTCTATAGAGGATAGGATATGTGAACAGGACGTCTAAGCTAAATTTATTTGGAAAAACATTACAGATTATACAAAGAGATATTCTGCTACAATTTTGTGCTAGGCTGAATGACTATCCCGATTACAAGAGGTGAGCCTGGAGACCCTTACTCGAATCTATGTTTGGCACCAGCATTAGTACTTAAAGCCTTAGGTGAGCTATTCAATCAAGCTTGGCTTATTTTTTTCTTCTAAAATAGTAACAACGGTATTTACCCTGGTAGAGGGTCCTTATAACAAAATTAAATATATTGGTGGTTTCACATAAAAGACTTAAAGTTATATCATTGTTTAAGGAGTGTCATTATTATTTTTATCAATACCATGACTATAATGTTAGTGATTACTGTTTTTCCACTTCCAGGGTAAGGAAAATAAATATGATACATGGGAAGTGGTAACTCTTGGTTTCCAAAGCAGTAGCCCTTCGTGAACAATCTTTTGTGCCCTCCATGTCAGGTCTCAGAAAGAATTCCTCATTATACAATTTAGGACAGAGATTCTAAATCCTTTTATTCTACTCAGGAAGACACTATTTATAGTTAGACTCTCTGACATCTTCTTTCTTCAAATAGGGGAGTTCATCAAAGCTTTGTATGAGTCAGATGAGAACTGTGAGGTGGATCCCAGCAAATGTTCATCTAGTGAACTGATAGACCATCAGAGCAACCTGAAAATGTGCTGTGAGCTGGCTTTCTGCAAGATCATCAACTCTTACTGGTGAGCTGGTATCAGTGCTTCATCTCCTGCTTATGGAACTTAAATTTTTCCATATAAAAGTCAACACAGTGTTAACTATTTCCCAAGCAAAGGTAGGGCTTAGGGGAAAAGTGAAAGTTTTCGTAATACAGTCCTGTCTAAAATCTAAATCTCCTTTATAAGCAGAAGTGCCTCTGAACTGACTATCTACATAAATGTGATGTTTCCTCAGAATATTAACACCACATCCTCTAATACCAAAAGTATTTTAATGACTTTCTAAAATATTTACTAATGCTAAACAGATTCAGTAATGATTTTTTTATCATTGCTTCAACCCCAGCTACTGGTGAGATTTGGAAGACTTTTGATGAACAGTCTTTAGAGAGATTATGATGAGGAGCCTCATGCCCTTTTCCCACTTCACAAAACTAAATTTATACTAATCCCTGAGTTTTGTGGCTTTGGGTTTCCAATCTCCATTCGGGTTTCTGTGAGTTTTCCTCCACCTCTCAGCCACGATCAGAGCCCTCTCCACTAGGCCCTCATAGCCGGGCTGTAGAGCAGAGTGTGTTGGGTCAGAGTGGGATTGCTTATGGCACTCTTATATTTAGAGATTTGGATCTCTCTTCCTTCCCCAGCGTTTTCCCTCGTGAGTTGAAAGAAGTGTTTGCATCATGGAAGCAGCAGTGCCTGAACCGTGGCAAGCAAGACATCAGCGAGCGGCTCATCAGTGCCTCATTGTTTCTCCGTTTTCTGTGCCCGGCCATTATGTCTCCCAGTCTTTTCAACCTTATGCAGGAGTATCCTGATGACCGCACGTCTCGGACTCTGACTCTAATTGCCAAAGTCATTCAGAACCTGGCTAACTTTGCCAAGTAGGTGTCGCTACCATAACCACTTTAAAAAAACATTATTTAAAAAATACATGAGACCTAAAATTTAGATGGGAGTGGAGAGCCTCATTACTCATGTTACAAGATTTTCATGTGGTATTATTAAAAATAGCAAAAAAAATGGAAAAGACTTAAACATTCACTTCATAAAGGAATAATTAAGTAACCTATGGTATATACATTCAATGGAATGTTTGCAATCACTGTAAATAGTGTTTACAAAGAAACAATAATATGGAAAATGATAACGATATATTAAATGAAAAGGCTATTAAAAACTTTAGCCAAAAAAAAAGACAGGATACCAAATGATGCATGTGTTGTTATTCCAGCAACATGAAAACACAAAAACCTAAGTATAAAAAAGGTGGAAAGAACAATCAGACAAATTCTATGGTTATATTGTCTAAGGCAATTGGCCTGGCTTCTTCAAAAAAGTCAATGTCATAAAAAATGGAAAAGACGGAGGGGATTGTTCTAGATTAGAAGAGACTAAATGCAATGCTTGAATTTTAATTGGATCTGAATTGGAAAAAAAATCTATAAAAATCATTTTGGGGACAATTGGTGAAATTTAAATATGAACTATATATATAAAATGATTTATGAATAAGGTTTTAAAAGTATTAGTGTGAAAATGGCATTGGTTTATGTGAGAGATATTCCATATTCCGAAGAAATAGGTGCTAATGTATTTAAAGATTATGCCTGCAACTTAGTTTAAAATGGTCAGCCAAGAAAAAAACATATATGTGTCTATAGAGAGAGTGAAAGCAAACTTGGCAATATGTGAAGAGTTGGTTAATATAGGTGAATGGTATGTGGCGTTCATTGTATATTCTTTCAACTTTTCTGGAGCTTTAAAATATTTCTAGAGGAAGTTAGGAGAAAGCAGTTGGGAAATACACTCAAATGTAAACAGCAGATACGTTTGGGTGATAGAGTGGGTGCATCTATACTGTTTCTTTCCACTTTTCATTGTTTTCAAATTTTTCTTAAGTATTTATAGTTTTTATAATTTATGGAAAACAATTGTAAGAATTCAGCGAGAAGGAATTCACACTGGCAAAACTGGTCACAGATTTATTCAATATTGAAGTTTAAAGACAAGTTTCTATAAGCAGTATATAGAAGGAAAAAATTAGAACTTCAATGAAGCAGATTGTTTTCTAGTTTTATAAATAGTGGCTTTTTAGAAGTACGCTACTTTAACTTTGTGCGCCCTATGTGTGCCAATGCAGAAATATACACATTTACCCATATTTGAGCTAATTCTGGTAAAAATTATTTCTTGTTTATTTTGGAACAAATTTTGTGGACTTAAGCTAGGCCCAGAAGATAGGTAGAAACTAGATAAGCAAAGAAGAGAGAAATTCTCTAGTGGGAATAAATAGTATGAGCAAAGGCTTGGAGAGGAAAAAGAGTGTAATATATTTGGGAGACTTTGAAGAAGCTAGTGATGTTGAAGGTTTACACTTAGGAGGGTTTGGTAGGGAAATGAAGGCTTTAAAGAGAGCTTTAAATACCAGAAAAGAGGGTTTTCCTTTACCTTAGAGAGAATAGAAAGCTATTCAAAATTTTTAAGTATTAAAGTAAAATTAAGAAAGTATACTTTAGCATTTATCATTTATAGATAATAAACAAATTAGTCACTTACCTCTCCAAAATAAAAAAAAATTTGTGGCTCTGTGTAAACTCAACTCAAAATGATCACATCTCTTTTCCTGAATATGTTCTTTCTCATTTTCTCTCCCTCTGCTTCAGATTTGGTAACAAAGAGGAGTACATGGCATTCATGAATGATTTTTTAGAACATGAATGGGGTGGAATGAAACGCTTTCTTTTGGAGATCTCTAATCCAGACACCATCTCAAATACCCCAGGCTTTGATGGTTACATTGATCTAGGCCGAGAACTTTCAGTTTTGCATTCCTTACTGTGGGAAGTAGTTTCCCAACTTGATAAGGTAAAGTAGGCTGGAAGGGTAATGGGAGATGGGAGGTAGAGAACCCTGATGTACCTGAATTCTGGAGTGTCTACAGAGTGGTAGCTTTCTGCTAGTTGAAGGCAACCTTTTACCCTAAAAGCCTGGAAGTGGATGGTTATCATTTCTGAGTGAAATATATGCCCTGCAAACCAGGAAATTCTAGAAAGCCATGAAATTATTAAAATATATTTTTGGGTAATTATGTGAATAAATGGAATATATATTTCTATAAATATATTTGTATATATTTGTGTATGTATGTGTGTATATATACAAATATATACACACACACACATACACTTAACCTAGAATCTAATATCACATATTGGTGTATGTAGCCTTATTCATGTATAGTAGAATGAGATGAAACCTCATATAATAATTTCTAACAAAAGTGTGGACTTAGAAAAATATTGAGACTATTGTGTTTAAGTAATTTTACCCATGAGATTTATTTTTATCATGTAAGTCAGAGGGTTTAATATAACTATTAGTACTACAGAGTTACATGGATCTGACAATCCTGATGTTTTCTTTCTTCACATGTGAATTAAGAATACAGAAAACAATTATCATTTTTAATCATTTTCTGACTATAAGCTAAGAATTTTATTATATATCATATTACTAACTAAATGTATCCCCATGCCAATCATTTTCTTCCTTCTGGAATTTTGCAAAGAGGAATATTGTGTAATAGAAAATAGTTGGATAGACTTTGGCTAGGTTTATCACGATAATTATTCATTGATGTTTTTGTTTGCTACAGGTACTTTGTAAATATGTGTGGTGGTATGTTAGAATAACTTCAAAAAACAAAGTTATTTTTCTGTGATAAGAATTTGTTTTCCTCCATTCTCCTATTATCCTTAAAAATGTTACACCAATAAAATTGGGGAGAGGAGTAAAACCTATTAACAAAGACCAATTTCCTGAAGAAATGTAAATGATAGGGTGTCCATTGGTGCTTAAAACATTTGTTAAATAATAAACTGTTCCTTATTCTTGAGGGCCCTTTCTTCACTTTTAGAAACGCTAGCTAGATTTTAAGTTGCAGCTATGCTGACGATAAATTTCTTGAATAGAAATGGCTCAAGAGAGTTTAGCAAGTAAAGACATTTTCAGATGGCATTTGTACCCATTTGAGCAGGGTAGAAGAGTCTATTGATGGTTGAGAAGACAAAGACCCAGAGGCAGCCATGTAAAACTGGCTAACAGTTGAGGATTCCCATGAGAATAAGAATTCCCCAAAGGAAAAAATGATTGAGATAGATAAACGAAGTACTAAAAAGTTATTCTGTTTGAATAACTGCATCAGTGGGATGCAGATACAGTTATCTTGTATAATCAGCCTGGTTTATTCAGGGGCAAGGTCTTTTTAACAGGCTTTGCTGTGTAAACATACTTTCTCCTTTTTAATCTCTGTTTGGTCTTGGGAACCAGGGTTACATCTAGACATATCTCACGGAGAGTTTACCTGATTTTGCTGTTTTAAAACAATTGTCTTGCTGATGCAAACTCAGTTGGCAATAGGTCAGGGTTCCCAAGATTAAATGGGATAGTGAATGGCAGTATCAACTGTGTGCCCTGCAGTGCTCTGCACCCCTGAATGCAACTCTTTTGTATGTTGGCATGCGTTTCTTTCCTCACATGATCCCTTTTCTTTGGAAGTTTCATCACACTAGACAATCCTCTGGTCTTGAAGTCCTTTTTGGTTAGAAGGTGTTTGGTTCTTCCCCAACCCTCCCCCACCTTGAGCTACTAGCTTCCCAAAGATTTAGTTTGCTTTGCATGCCTATTTTAGTTGGAATGGCAATAGTTTGGTTGTTTTGAGCATGTCTTTTAATTTTTATTTGCATAATCCTAATTTCTATTTCCTTTCTTTCCTCAATGTCTGCTGCACCTTGTTTCGCCTCCTCCATTCATCTCGACGCCATGGTTCCGCTGCTCCATAACAATGCATTATGAACCTGCCACTCCCATATGCAAACACCTACCCTTCCCTCCAACCTCCACCCCTCCATCAATGGGCACCATTGTCCCAAAAACAATCTGTGGTGGATATCGCAATGCTTATTGTCCAATTAGGGTGAAAATTCCTTCCTACAGGCGACCGTGGCAAAATTGGGACCTCTCCCTCGTGTTCTTGCTGATATTACCAAGTCTCTGACTAATCCTACACCAATACAACAGCAACTAAGACGCTTCACTGAGCATAACTCCAGTCCAAATGTCAGTGGAAGCCTCTCCTCTGGGCTGCAGAAAATATTTGAAGACCCCACTGACAGGTATGAAAAAGAGAATTTGAACTACTTATCTCAGAGAGAGATAATGTTTAGAGATTTGGCAAAAACCTATTTAACTTGTTTGTTGAATTTACAACTTGAAAGTGAGGAGCAGTTGGATAGAATCATCTGACCTGAGATAAATCCAATTGTTTGTCATAATAATACACAAGATCTAGGATACTTATTTTCTAGAATGATGTTGTAGAGTTATATTCAAGAGACACATAAAAATACTACGTCCTGCTTGATAGAAGACTAAGAGCTCTATGAAATTTTCGTATATTTTAGCCCTCAAAACTCTGGAGAACCTTAGTTAAAACCATTTTATAGCTGGCCATGTCAGCTGGACGGTAGATACAATGTTGATGCTTAGACTTTGTTTTCTGTACTGGCAAGACTTGTGCCTTTAGCAAGGACTCTTTGTTTGTTCACTCAGAGCTTTTCCAAAGTTTAGACAGAACCAATTAAATATGAATTGGAATACCTTGAGAGGGTTTAAAACCTAGCTAGGAAATGATTGGAATTCTAGTAAAAATCAAATACAGTGATAGAGTGGTATACACAAGGTTATTCTTCACCTTTGGAGAAAAACTAAAAATGTTGGATTTTATTCTAAGAATTGTAATGATGAAATCTGAGTTTAGAAACCAATGTAAGTACCCACCTTGGGCCTGAGAGCCTTCGGAAGAGTTCATATCCCTTAGTTAAGGAATCTTGATTATGTTGAATTAGCCTCAAGAATAAATAAAGATTCTTTCCTTTTCCACAGTGATTTGCATAAACTAAAATCTCCAAGCCAGGACAACACGGATAGCTATTTCAGAGGGAAAACATTGTTGCTGGTTCAACAAGCCTCCTCTCAGAGCATGTCTTATTCTGAAAAGGACGAAAAGGAAGGTAGCCTTCCTAATGGTCGGAGCATCTCCCTCATGGACCTTCAGGACACTCACGCTGCTCAAGTGGAGCATGCATCTGTCATGCTTGATGTGCCTATGCGCTTGACGGGAAGCCAGCTCTCCATAACCCAGGTGGCCAGCATCAAACAACTGCGGGAAACCCAGAGCACTCCCCAGAGTGCACCCCAAGTGAGAAGGCCCCTGCATCCAGCCTTGAACCAGCCAGGCACCCTCCAGCCCTTGTCATTCCAGAACCCGGTCTATCACCTCAATAACCCAATTCCCGCAATGCCAAAGGCCTCTGTGGATTCCAGTTTGGAGAACCTAAGCACTGCCAGTTCCAGAAGCCAAAGTAACAGTGAAGACTTCAAGCTCAGTGGACCCAGCAATAGCAGCATGGAGGATTTCACCAAACGTAGCACTCAGAGTGAGGACTTCTCCAGGCGGCACACTGTGCCCGACAGACACATACCTCTTGTTCTGCCACGGCAAAACAGTACTGGGCAGGCCCAAATTCGAAAAATGGACCAGCCTGGGTTAGGTGCCCGAGCCAAAGCCCCACCATCCCTGCCACACAGTGCTTCCTTATGTAGCACGGGGAGCATGTCGGTGGCATCTGCAGCTCTGGTGGCCGAACCTGTGCAGAATGGGAGCCGGTCCCGGCAGCAGTCCTCTTCCTCCAGAGAAAGCCCTGTTCCCAAAGTGAGAGCAATCCAGAGACAACAGACACAGCAGGTAGGGGCCTGTGCTGGAGGGATCTCACTTTTACTTGGTCCAATGGTTTCCTCAGTTCTTTATACGTAAAATCATTGAGAAATCTAATTGCTAGCAAGGTTTCCAGTTAGAAATATTTTCTACAACCTTTACATGGAAGGAGGAAATGAAAAGTTTGCGAGGCTTCTGGCTAGGTGAGGTAGCAGAATGTAGCTTGACTCGTTACCCTTAGGAGACTCTAAAAACCGCACAGGGGGCCTTTCCTTCTCTTCAGGCCACAGAGGTAGTCCCTCAGTTTGCGCTGAGAACAGATCTAGGATGTTGAATGAATAATTAGACTTAAACTACAAAATCTGTAGGCCAAATCAACTAGAAGATATTTGGGGAATCTAGACATTAATCCTCCTTAATTTTTTTTTCTTAAGCTTCCAGAATTAGGTTTTGCATTCTGAGCCAACAGTTTAATGTAACTGCTCTCTGCTCCATCCCCCAGCTCCCTCTGGAAATATCAAGCCCCATGTGCCTTTTCCTGGAAATGGCTAGAAAAATAAACAGCTGAACACCTATAGAAGCAAGGTAGAGGAGAGAGAGAGAAAAAGATAGAAACACTGGGGGTTGACAAGTATTCTAGACATTTACAAATCCCTTATATTTCTCTTTACATGGACAAGCCCAGCTAGTGTCACACCTGATCTTAATATAAGATTTCCAAACTTTTTTCTTAAGAAATAAAAAGGTTTCCCAAGCATTTAATTATTTCTTCCCTATGTATTACATTTTGAGGCAGCAATACATATTTTGCTCTTTGAAACAAACTCATAATTTTAGGAAGCATATATAGGTATATGTATGTGTTTGTGTGTAAATATACATAAAACCTTTCATCTGAAAAATATTTTTCTCCTAAAAAGCTTTGTGTTTGTTGAAATTTTTCTTTTGAAACCTAATCTTACTTTGTAAGTTCTAGGGAGCTTTGTGATTAAAAGAGTTCTATGACCAATCCTTTTGTCAGCAAAATCACTGGTCAGAGCAGACTGCAATAAAACCTTAATGATTCTCTTTAATATATTTGCATTTTTATAGGTAGACATTTACTGATTTGCTGCTTCTGCCTTCACTCTGCTATGACCAGAGCCATTGCCCCTACTTTGATAGTTATTGTTTTAAGAAAATTAGAACATTTACAGAATCCTTGGATACAGAAGAAGAGGAAGGGATGAAAATGAGCAACTTAAGCTGATTCTGGTAGCCATCTTCCTGGGCAAAGCCTCCTAGTTAGCCATTCTTTTCCTGAGAAATAAAATTTTTCTTGTCTTAAATCTTTCATTTTTATTTTGTTATATTTCCCAAAATTTTATGAATTCATTGGATTTAATAAGCGTTTTCACTTAAAGAAAAAGAAAAAAGATTAAATATAATATAATCTTTTCCCCTTTTCTTTAAGTGAAAACGCTTATTAAATGCCTTTATACACACACACACACACACACACACACACACATTTAATTTGTATATTAGGAGGCTATCAGTCATTCGTGCCCTATTGTGAATTAGTTTCCACACACTGCTTTTATCCTAGCTTCTAGTTGAGATCAGCTACTTTCAGAGAATTAAAGTGTTTACTGAGAGGAGAGAAGAAAGATAAGCAATTTTAGAGGTGGAATACTGTGTGGAGGCAAACATCTCTTGGGGGCTTAGTGCAGCATGAGGGCCCTGAGGATCAGATAGGGAGTAGAGAAGAATATGAGATTGGCAGAGAGGGACAGGACAGGGGAAAGGGTCCTTCACCTGCTTTTCGAAGGTTGGCTTAGGCCCACCCAGCCCTGGACAGAGAAGAGGAATGCTTCACCCATTCCTCCTGTATGGTGTAGTCATCAATTCCCGGGGCTCATGACTCAGACTAACTGTTTATAAATATTACAAATTAAATAACCTTTTGTGTGATCCTCTGGAACCAATTGTCATTTGTAGTATTTGTGCTGTAGGAAAATATAACACCTATCACATAAGCACTCAGTACCTGTTTCTGTGGGTGAATAGAAGGCTGGCTGGCTGAGGGAGACAGGAAATGCGTACAGTCTGCAAACAACCACTTTACAGATTTTTTGTGCCACAGCCATTAATGAGTTGAGGAATGTCTGTATTACATTGGCATCAAGTAGGGCACAGCCACAGTGAGGTGTCCTAGAACAGCTTTAAATATTAGTCTTTGTTTATGCCTTTGCTGGTACTGCCACTGTCAATATCCGTTAAAGTATAAATCACTATAATTTGATTGCTCAAGTTTCTGGTTTTTCTATACTGGCTTTTTCTTCACAGATGGTTTATTCTTTTGAACTTATGTTATTTTTTTTTTATTCCTTATCTTTCCATTTCTTGCTTGCTTTTCTCATCTCACCCCCTGAAGCCTCTGAAGTTCTGTATAATCAGCACATTTTTTTTGGCAAATTCTTTTACATATTTTAATTGCAAATTGTGTTGGGGAATTCTTCTCTCCCAAAAACTAGAGGATTTCTTCATGAGAATTGTTCTGTAGGCGTCTATAATTATCAGTGGCTTTGTCCCATGCAAATTCCATTTGTATCTTAGCACAAAAGAGCAGCCATTGTTGGCAGTGTAACTACCTTCAGTCTTTGTCTACTGAGTAGAAAGGAAATAAAATCCTAGTGAAACAATGTACAGAGAAGGAATTTTTTTAGGAAACTATCTTTTAATTTTTGATCTTTTTCATCCTCTATTTACATTTCTTTTTTCTCACTTTCCTCTCCATTTTGTTTTTCGTGTATCATGTACTCTGCATGTAAATAGACTTTATTTACAGTATATGAGTTCAGATGTAGCATATCACCTAACCTTAGAAATTCAGATTTGAAGAGGCCTTTAAAATAGGGATTTGACAAGCCTATCGGAATATGCTACAGTTTTCACGTTTGCATTTGTTGAATCCTGTCCTAACCAACCTGTTCAAGAACTGTGAGTTTACTTATTAATTTAGTCAGTCCTTTCTTTGGTGTTGATAACAGAAGTGTTATTCATTTATGGGAACGTGACTATTTCAGGCTGTGGAGAAGCTGAAACCAACAAGTCTCATATCTAGTAAACACTAGCAAGGAACAGGGAACTGGCCTGTTCTCAAATTGTCCTCGGCATAGCCAAGCTATGACAAATTGTAGGATCAGTGAAACTGCTGTCTCAGTAGCTTTTGCCTTAAGGCATTATTATTTTTCCCAGAGAAACCCTATATAGCTTTAAGTCAAAAGGGAGATTCCTAATAGGAATGCCTGTTCCTTTTCTTTTTATCTTTTTCATCCTTCATGTTCTTTAATGATCCACTGTTGAAAGTCACTGGATATAAATGCTCTTCCTAAGGCTATTATAGCTAAGCAAAATGGAATCTGAACCACCTGCAAACCTCTTTTCTCAATTTCTTTGACTATAAACTAGAGATAATAAATGTTGCTGTCTATCCAGCTTATAAGGGATATGGAACAAAAATTGAGGAAAAGTCTTTGATATCTTCCAATTAGAGGAAAAACAGAGTATCCTTCTCTTAGTAATAAACTATACTTTTATATAAACTATACATTTTTAGAAATGAATTCTAAAGAGAATCCAGAGTATTAATAAAGGAATGATATTTTATTGAGCATCTATTGTGCATTACGTAGTCACTTCTGTTCAAAAAAACTGTATGATCTGGTGCCATGCCTCAAGGATTGACAGTCTAACTGGGAAGTAAGACCAGCACACATAAGGCCAATGGAAAAAATGTAAAAGACAGTATATATTTTTTCATATGAAGAACATAATTATTAAAACAAAAAATAATTTCAAAACAAAAATCACCTCTATTTTCTTCCAGTCTAACACAGTAACTATTTTTGATTTGCTTAATATTACTTTTCCATCTCTTTATAATTATGTAAATGTTTTATCATGTACATAAGGAATAGTTAATATTGGTCTGATTTATTTTTTCCAACAATTGTTGACCACCTACCTTATGCTATACAAAGTGCTAGGATATAGTAGGAAGTGGTTGAAAATTAGATTCAACCAATAAAATAGGAATAGACCTGAATGCCCAATTCCCATTGTACAATCTCTCAGAATTCACTGGACATTGTTAGTCCTAAAGGTATGGTAGTTACCACCATCACCAGTGGAATAAGCAAACTCTTGTTTCTCCAGCCTCTCAGTTAACAGTTAAAGCTGAGATTCCCCTGAGGAGTTGTTGTTAATATACTTTTAGGGGCTGCGATCTCTCCTTAGTGTGTTCTTCGGAATACCATGAGTTTGCAGTGCGTTTATAGGCACCTGATAGATAGTTACCCAGAGCAAATCAAGGGAAGGAAAGTTCATTCAAGCAACATCTTGTTAACTATATAAAGCAGAAAGCTATTCAATTAGCTGCCTTGAAGTAATAAATTCCAAACAGTAAAGTTGTTATTAGTTTTAGTAGCTCCTTTATCTCAAACCACTATTGAATAGAAAATCCTGGTTTCACAGAAAAGCACTTTCCTGTGCCCTGTGTGCTAGAGTGATAAGATTATAAAATTAAAAAGGCATTTGTCTCCTTTAAATATTGGCTTTCTATTAATTTTTTAAGACTCAGAACCACATTGTTTTGCTTTCAGGTGTACATATCTCAAGCAAAAACCTAAACCCCTTGTTAAACTATTTTTCTCTACCAGTACTAAAGCAAGTTATTGTGCTCTGCTTTTAAAATCCAATAGGGAAAGAATGAGAGAGAGTGAGAGTGTGTGTGTGTGTGTGTGTGTGTGTGTGTGTGTAGCAGTTTACAAAGTGCTTTTACATGCTATCTCATTTGTTTCTCATAATAACTTTTGATGTGGATAATTATCATCTTCCTTTTTATAGATGATACTATATCCTATAGACCAGCATTCCCAAAGTGTGATACTCAAAATTATTTAGGTATTCAAGGTGTTTAATTAATCATGTAATTATTTTAACACAGAAAAATATATATAACTTAATATAAAAATATGTTTGTAAATATATAATATATATAACATCAATTCATGATTCTACTGATATTATTGCTTAGCATATGGACTTAACTAACTGAAAAAGGTTGTTTGAAAGAGATAAATAATATGTTAATGATAGTGTGGTAATGATGAAAATAATGAAAGTGATACACAAATGAATGAAGAATAAGAAACACACTTACATACCATAGTGGAGATGGAGGTAGACTTAAGAACTGAGGGTACTGATATTGAAGACGTGTTTACATGTTTCTTGACACAGAGAGAAAATGGCTTTAAAGAAGGAATCTAGAAGTCATTCATAATTGTTTGTGTGTGCCTCAGGCATGAAGCCATTTTTTATTGATACATATCTATAATCTGTTTGTAAATCAACCAAATAAGGTGGTTCTGCAAAACTTTAAGAAATACTCTCATGTTACTTTTGTATGTGTGGTTTTTAAAGTCTCTCCCAACCCATCTTTGATAACCTTTTGGTCTCTGCAACCAGTTTTTTCATCTAGTCTTTCTAAGTCTCAAAATCATCACAATACCCCTTCTTTTAAAATGTCTGTCTATTTAGGGTTTAACTGGGTTCTATTCCAGAATGATACAGAGAATTCTTAAGGTATACAGAGAAAATTCCCTTCAATTATGAGATTATGGGGTTTTGGTCCTCAAAATAGAAATTCATTTTAATTATAGAAAGGCTAACTCACATACAATGTTTTGCACTTGCTTGCTCATGCTCTCTCTCTCACTCTCTCTCTCTCAGGCAGGCCAGAGAAGAATTTGTTGTATATTTCCAGCATTGTTTGTGGAGAAAACACTAATGTTCCATAGCCTAATATAAGTTGTAATATCCAGCGCCAGTTTTCTAAACATAAGTATAGTAATAGCATGTAAGCTCTCTAGTACTCTGTAGTTTCCAAAGAACTTTCGCATACATTATCTTACTCAGTCCTTGCAACTCCCTATGAGATGGTCAGGATAGGTGGTGATGGTGGTGGTATCAATAGATTAGAAAGAGTATTTAAGAGATTAAGTGAGAATTTAAGTGGCAGAGGGCCAGCCCGGTGGTGCAGTGGTTAAGTTCACACTTTCTGCTTCCACAGCTCAGGGTTTGCCGGTTCAGATCCCAGGTGCAGACCTACGCACCACTTGTCAAGCCATGCTGTGGCAGGCATCCCACATAAAATAGAGGAAGATGTGCATGGATGTTAGCTCAGGGCCATCTTCCTCAGCAAAAGAAAAAAAAAAAAGGATTGGCAGCACATGTTAGCTCAGGGCTAATCTTCCTCAAAAAAAAAAAAAAAAACAATAAATGGCAGAGTTGCTACTCAAGGCCAGAATTCTTATCACTCTGTATATCTATATTGGAAAAGGGCAATTTATCTAGCTATCCTAAATCAGTAGAAATATCCCTTAGACTAATTCAATATCCATTGTTTTGATTCTGTATTCATCAAGAAACTTTCCAGTCTAAAATACGGACTTCTGAGTGGTCTTAACCCATCATGAAGTCAGTGCTCTGTAAAAATGACCAGTCTCACTTGTTTTTCCTCTTTTCTCTAAACGGTTAATGTAAAAATTAAGAATTTGGCATTCTAATATATAAAGGGACACCCTGTGAGTTTGTTTAGCATTCATCAATTCCTTGGTTCCTGAACATCTCTAGATTAAACAGATGTTTCCTCACCTGAGCAATCAGCCGTCATGTTGTGCTTTCTTTCTCCCATTCTATCATCACCAGAATTTCATTAGGTAATTTGGACCACTAGACTAATTAACAATTTTAAGGCCTTGGTTTTCTTTGGTGGGAGAAAAGGCCGGTTCTTGAATGTGATACATAGGCATTTCTGTTCAGAATAGTTTATTCTTACATAAGTGGATATTCTCTTTTCTCACTCCCAGCCCCAGCATTAATAAAATATTACTTAGAAATGAGAGCATTTATTAGAAAACAGGAATCACAATTATGTCTTCCAAGAATAGCTCTCTTTGTGAAACATAACTGTGTATGAGCTGTTTTGGGAAATTCTAATAAATATTTCTGATGCAGGTTCAGTCACCTGTGGACTCTGCCACAATGTCCCCAGTGGAGAGGACAGCAGCCTGGGTGCTGAACAATGGGCAATATGAAGAAGATGTGGAAGAAACTGAGCAGAATCAAGATGAAGCCAAGCATGCTGAGAAGGTAGAACCTCGTCTGTCTTTACTGACTTACAGCCGACCCCACAGTGATAGGCCACCACAAGGTTTTTTCTGGCCAAGAACATGATCTCTCCCCTCCCCAACTTCAGCTCCACCTCTTATGTTAACCATCCTATGCATGTCTATGTATAATAATTCAATAGTGTCCTTAAATGAAAATATGCAGAAAATGTCCATCAAGCTGGGAGGTGGTGGGGCCGGGGGGAGGGGGTAGCTCTAATTTTTATTTGTTTTATGTAGGTTGCCTTAATTTGGAAAATACTCTGCTATTCATTTCTAGCCATTTTAGGTGAATATTTGGTGTTTCTAGAAACAGTTATTAGTCTTGAACCAAGGCCAAAATTACCCTTGGACTAGACTTCCTTTCTGTATCTTGGTAATGATTTTGTCTTTCTTTTCTTTTTGTCTTTTCTGAATAAAGAACTTCTAGCTTTATATATGATATTTAAAAGGAAATTATCTATTGTTTTGGCTTTATTTTTATTTTATTTTTTAAGAAAAGTTGACATGGAAAAAAAAGATTATCAAACAAGAACCTTGGCATCATGTATGACATTATCTCATTTAGTTAACAACCAGGCATCTAGCTTCTGCTTACTTACCACCATGATCCTAAACTATGCTTATTGATACAGTCTGCCTCTTCAAATGTCATAAAACTTGTCATCTTTGACCTTCTGGATTAACAGGCACAGTTTAGTACTATGGTGCTGGACCATGATGAAGCTAGTTGTCTGTGAATTAAATGGGATAATTGTGAAAATAGTTGTGTTTTACAAAGCACCATACAGATTTATCATTAATGACTAATGAATTTAAGTGGAACATCTACAAGAAAGCTTATGCTTCTCACCTCACTTAGAAACTTGACATTCCAGTATACCTAAACCCCAACCACAGCAACTTCAGTACAAGAAAGGACCATGTTGCCAACTGAATTACGTAAAGCTTTTGTGAGAAAACAGGCATATGTGTTCCAGCAAGCAGCATCAAATTGGGCAGATGAACCACGTGATGAAAATGGGCCAAGAGGTAGTGTTAATGAGCCTTGGGGAACATGTAGGCCTTTTGCTTAGTGCTTGTGACCTGAATATTTTACGCTTTCATAGTTGAAGAGAAAGTGGCAATAGCCTACTCTGCCATAAAATTCTATTTATTGATTTCATAGCTTCACATAATAGAAATGTTGCTTGTTCTCTAAAGGGCTGATTCTAGTAGAGTGAAGGAATAGCACCCTGATAGACCAAGGTATGTCAGAGATCCTACAATACAGGTGATGATACAGAAATCTTTTCTCTTGCAAACAACTGGTTTATATTAAGTGATTTGTCAGGTCTCTAAATGCTTCATCTTTTTTTGTCTGCTCCCATTTGATACCATCACAGATGGAATGTGGCTTGCAGCAACTGGTAGTTTAATATGAAGAGAGATACATAAATATATAGATTTGGAATGCCAAGTTAAGATTAAAAATGTAATTGTGGCAGGAGAGCAGAGCTCCGTTACCATTTATTTATGCCTGGTAATAGTTTTAAGGAACATTAGCCTCACATGGAATGGCAGCTCAAATAGCATCCAGCTACAATGCCTAGGGTTTCTTTCATAAAAAGTAAATCACTAATTTCTAAAACGAGCATAACTCCAGTTTTTCTCTCATTGTCTTTGGTGCCTCTTCTCTGCTCTAGTATGAACAGGAAATTACTAAACTGAAGGAGCGCCTGAGAGTGTCCAGCCGTCGGCTGGAGGAGTATGAACGCCGGTTGCTGGTGCAGGAACAGCAGATGCAGAAGCTGCTGCTGGAATACAAGGCCCGGCTGGAGGACAGCGAGGAGCGCCTACGCAGGCAGCAGGAAGAGAAAGACAGCCAGATGAAGAGCATCATCAGCAGGTTAGAGGATCACCTGGTGGTGGTGGATGTGGGCTAGTTGAGGATTCAAAGAGGTGGGAAGATAATCCAAAGAATCCTAAAGCAATGGTGACAAAAGCTATTTTCAACTCTGCGTATACTTTGTGGCACTTAGTACAAGTGTGATGACTGACTGTATCTTTTAAAATTTTCTAAATGTGAGACCTTAGTGCACTTCCTCTGAAGATAGAGGTAGTCTGTTTTTCTTTAATCATAACAATTAGAAAAAAAATAAAAACTTAGTGGCTCCCTTGAGAGGTCTTAGAGGAGAACTGGATTTTAAAAAGCTAAGTGTTCAATGTCTGATACTAACTTAGATTTTCACGAGTCCAGAGACATGGAAGGGAGTTTCTTTGGATATCTTTAGGGCCAGAGCACCAAGAGAGTGCCAAGGATGTCAAGGGAGACTAAGGGAGGGGTCAGTTTTACCAAACACTTACATGGCACTTAGTATGGGCCAGGCACTTTTCTAAGCACATTACAAGTAATAATTTGTTAAATCTGTTAATAATAATTTGTTTAATGTCAACCTCTAAGGTAGGCATTATTATTATTATTCTCATTTTACAAATAAAGAAACAGGCAACAAATTCATTAAGTCACTTGCCCAAGGTCACTTAGTGGTACAACCAGGATTTGAAGCCAGAGCTCCAGAGTCCATGCTCATAACCACTGTGCTTCAATATTGTCAAATGCTGTGGACAGGTCAAGTAAACTGAAGACAGAAAAGGGTTGTTGTTTTAGCGGTACAGAGGTAATTAGCAGTCTTACTGAGAGCAGGTTCATGGAGTTAAACTTCAGGAGGTTAAGATGTGAATGGTGGATGAGAAAGAAAGTAGACCTGCTAAGTATAGGGTACTCTTTGAGGAAACTTCGCTGTACAGGGGAAGAGAAAGGACCCCTGTTACAAGGTAACTTGAAATTAAGAGAGGCTTATTTGTTTTTTGTTGGTTGGTTTGATATTTTAAGATGAAGTAAATTGTGCTGAGGGAGGGATCTGATAGAGGAGAGGGAAGAAGTGATTATGGGACCACTGTTCCAGAGGATATGAAAATGCACGGGATCCAGTTGCAGGTGGAAAAATCAACCTTGGATGTCTTCTACCAAGGTAGAAGAGAGGAAAGAAAGCACAGTTGCAGATCTTTTATTAGGAAGGAGGGAAAATATTGAACTGTGATGAGTTTTGGGTTGCTTGTCCTCTACATTAGCTAGCCCTCTCTTTGAAGATGTTGATATCTCCTTCCTACCGCATTCTAGGCTAATGGCTGTGGAAGAAGAATTGAAAAAGGATCATGCTGAGATGCAAGCAGTTATTGATGCAAAGCAAAAAATAATTGATGCACAGGTAAGCAGGCTCTGAATCTAGTAGAAGGCACTTGTTTATAGTAACTTTTATTTCCTGACTTACCATCCCTTGAAAATAAATGCCAAGACATGTATTGGAAAAGGGGTCATTAGACAGTTCTCAGTATTACCTTTTCAAGATGAAGAGTTTCTACATGACCTCTCTTACTTTTCTTTTACTGGTGACAAGTCTATTAACCCAGCAAAGTATTAGCGTGCTTAGTGCAGTTGCTTGATAAATCTCAGCCTGGTGCATGATGGGGTTTACTTCTTTCCTTATGGAAAGGAGGGCTTTCTCTAAGAGGGTAACTGTGACAAGTACACTGCATGTGTCTGGCTTGTGACCTCCACTGACCATTGCTTGGCTGTGATGTTCACGGTCTTGTCAGTCACGTCCACTGTGCCATCAACCTCTAGCCCCAAACAGTAGTGGAACTGCAGGGGAAAGATAGGGTTGTAGAAGATACCTTCCCTTGTTATTCTTCTGGTTCAGGGTTTGGCATTGGTGCTTGGGATTTGCTTGGCTGCCCTTCTTTATTGGCGCTGTGCTTAAAGAGCCTCTTTTGGTTGATGAAATCAGAACCTGGGCCTCTGCTCACTGTAGCTTATACCTCTGACACTGATGGCACGATGACTGCCAAGAGCACCTCACAGGGACACATCAACAATCAGAGCAAAATCCAAGAGGCAGGAAACATTTCTAATTCCTTTTCTTTTTACCAATGCAAAATATAGTTGTATTTCTTAGAGTGAAACAAGTAACAAAAGGCAGGTGCATTTTTTATAGTGGCTGGTCTAGCCACTGAATGTGTCACCCCCCAAAACAACCCAGCCAGGTTTGCATTTCTCACCCTTAATCATATCACATCCCTAAGCTATGAAATAAAAATGAGAGCAAGAACTTTCTATCCTGCTCTCTTCTCTGCACATCAGCCAGTGGTCAGTCTATGTTAGAGCCCCCAGTATTCTTAAACATGCACTTAACACCTCCAGTCTAGTTTCCTGACAGGGTTAATGTGAGGTGGGGTTTATTTTTCGAAGGAGTTAGGAGTGAGGCTAAAAGCATAGCCATGGGAAGAGTGCTCCATGGGCCTCATACTCCTTCAGACACACTAAACTTGGAAGATGAGTGTGAGTTTTGATGCTCTCTCTTCAGCATAGCTCCCCGGAATATTTTAGACTCTTGAGCTCTGTAGTTTCTGCATCTTTTGACCTCCTAAGAATCGGGAGAAAGATCTGCTGTAATTATCTTACTTGGTCCTTTTTTTAAAGGCTTTCTAGGTGTTCCCAAAGTGGGTGAGGGAAGGGTAGCAGAGACAAGACCATCTCATTACACCTACTATAAAAATTCCTCCCAGAGGTTTAAGAGAAACAGCCTGGATAAAGAAGTCAATTTAGTCAGGAAAACTCGTGTTGATAAGTTTTCACTTTTTAATATGATGATATAAAGCAGGGAGAGTTCTATTAATAAGCACACCAGGAGAGATTTTAGTTTTAATAAGATAGACAGTTTTAGTAATTTCAGCTGGTCTAAAACTGTGTCAGTTTTAAGCAGAGGGAGCTTGGCTGTGTCACAGTCATGGCTCTACGCATACAGTATTTCCCTTTCCTCGGTTGCATGTCAAGACGCCTCATCGTTAGCTTTGAAGAATTCTACCCCACCCCCGCCCCCTATTTTGACATCTAAGGCAAGATGACTGGGTATGAAGCGAGAGTCATAGGCATAGAAGATAAAAGCAAGAGAAGGAATCAGATTTATCATAGCTCAAAAGCTCTGGAAAGTGAGGACCTTCTCTCAGTTAACCAGGAGGGTGTCACTGTTCAGGAATGGGAGAAATGTTATCCTCAAAGCATCAGTCAGTGTCAGACTTGTGGTCTAGCTAAAGTAGATAATATTTTGGATCCATGTCTTAAGGCAGTGGTTATCAAATGGTTTGATTCCCTGGACTATTTTGGTGGAACCAGAGGCACCTTCCATAGATCAATTTCCAGCTGCTCCTACTGACTGCTTAACAATAAGGACCACTCTCAACTAATAGATAAAATCAGACCAGGTTGGCTAAATGTAATAAATTACCTGTTCAAACATAGGCATTACTGTGTAATAAATTATTCCACCAGAGGCTCACTATGGATCCCTAAGACTACTTGGAGAATCCACTAGACCACATTTTGAAAAACCACTGCAACATGCACAGCACAAATCATAAACATTAAATACAGTTTTTTAAAAAGTTATCTCCTTAAAAGGAAGGTTTCCCAATTCCAGCTGTTGTCTTACTGATACATTAAAATCTTACTATAGCAAAAGACTGGACATCCTTTGGCATTCTTTGTAAAGAATGACTTTTTATATCATATCCTTTCCTTGTAAGGATAGATCTTACATCTTAAGTGTTTGATGGAGCAGTGCAGTCTTTCTGGCATCATTTAATAGAATGAAGAAGTGTTTAGGGGTGAAAGCTTCCCAGCAAGGTAACCCACACTTTTATGTCCCTGACATCTGCCTTGGTGCCACTGGGGGTAAAAAATATTCCTGAAATGAATACAGTTGGCATTCCTTATATTAGAATTGAGCCCACATTTCCCAAAAACACTAAAGGCCAGGTACCCAGTGAACTGGTTTTCATCTCTTTCAGCAAACCTGTGCTCCTGCAGGATAGGCTTCTCCCTGAATTCAGCTTCTCCGTCTCTACTCTAGAGTTAGTTCATGCTCCAAGGCCCAGCCTGAGTCAGCCGTTTGCTAACTGAAACTGTGAGAGGATGGGCACTCCACTGGTGAGGGCAGAATCACCTGTCCTGGACCTTGTAACACGGCCATGGGGATCCTGGTGATTGTACTAAGGGATCACTTCTTAAACATCCGCCCAGGGACTGTGCCACCTTTCACCCCTCAGGATCTCTCCATGTGACTCAGATGGAGAACAGAGAAGGGCTTCCTCCCATGAGAAGCAAAGCAGCTGCCTAGTTACTGTTGCAAGTGATATCTCCGCTGTGTTAAATTACAGGTCATAAATGGAGATGAGATTATTCAAACAGGCAAGTAACCCCCGTCCGTTCTCTAGCTGAGCAGTTCCCAGCCCTGGCCCAGTGCACTGGCCTCCTACGCATTCCAGCTCCTGTGCTCCGCACACCTGAAATCCTTCCTGTCAGGCATGAGTGATTAGATTGCTTTGCCTTTCACTGCAGGCAGAATCGAAATGTCAGAGCATCTTTTGCTAACTGAACTTGACTTTCAAAAGTCCCTATTTGTTTTTTGGGAGTTTTTAACTTTTGTTCTATTTTAAGAGGTTGACATTGGGGGGAATTACAAAAGGGAGTTCCTCCTCGTGGAAACTTTCAGCTCTCTAGTAGGGGAGTTGCTTGGCTTCACTTGTTACTTTTGTAGGAAATAAATAATTACAATCATTCTTAGCCTTCTTTTTGACCCTGTAAGAATCAAATAATTTTTCATGAATGCCTAGTTTTTTTGGATAAACCCTGAAGAATCCTGCATTCCTTAGTACTGGGACCTTATAATTTATCCTAATACTGAAACATTTTTTCTTTTTTAATCATTTTAAGATATTGCCAGTTTTTCTGTTTGGAGATTATTCCTAACTATAGGAGGGAAACATCGTGTTTGTCTCCCATCCCTTTTTTTTTGGTAACCACTGACCAACCCTTACCTACTGACTTTTAAAAGATCTATACTTATTATCCCAGTAAACTCCACTGGCTATCACTTTTTTACTTATTATTTTTTTAAAAAGCCTTGCAGATCTTTCTTTCTTTGCGTGTTGCCTATCTTAAAATGAGTTACTCACCTTCCCAAAGTAAAAAGCATCTTATACTAGATTAGTGGTTGGTTAATAATGCTGATTTTCTCTGTCTTAGCATCTGAGTTCTCCATTGGGGAAAGGAAGAATTTTTTTTAGTGATAATAACAAGTGTGAGCTATTTTTTTTTCACACTTTTGTAACTGACCACCAGCCCTGCTGCTGTGCAGATTCCCACCCCACCCCCAAGGTAGGAGATTGAAGGGAAGTGTTATTGTTGTATATGCCTTTACCTAAATTTCCACCAGGGCAGTGGTCTTCACTCTGCATCCTCCTGGCAGCAAGTCTCCCGGCAGCGCAGTGCTGCATACATACGGCCCTGTATAACTACTGCTTCCACAGCACGGAGCAGCATCAAACCCTTGGCCCTTATCCGTCCTCTCTGAACCTTTCCATGACTGACCTTACTGTGCTTTTCCCTGGGTGAATTCAAAAACTCCCGAGGTAGGAAAGCTCCTTTTGGCTGTGGACGTTGTTCCTCATGTACTATTTTCTTTATAATTTTATGGGAGTAGTTAAAGACTGTCCTTCTCAGTGTTAACTTGTTTCCTGAAAAATAACAACTTCATGTTGGAAACATTCTGGAATGATTTACCTAGCTGCTGAAGCTAGGATTAGGGTTTCTCTCCTAATCTTTGTGAAACTGATAATATTTTGATGGGATGATTTTTTCTTTTTTAATTTAGAGGAGCCTACTTTCCTTTAGATTGCCTGTTTTTTCCTCTTTTTTCCCCTCTTGGTTTTTTTCATGTGTTCAATAATCTTTGTTTCCAAAATATTGATTCTAAGGCAATTTTTTTCCAGAGACTCAAAAGTAAAATGAAATCAGTCTCCGTATTGGGCAGCTTTCCTGGAGTCAGCCTGAGCTGGAATGAGTCTAGGAGCTTGTGTTCTCTGTCTGTTTTCATGTGTTATGTTGATGGCGTTCCCCCTTCGGCCACGTCTCCCTCCCCATATCAAGTAACTCCTTGGTCTGAGCTTTGGGCTGCTTTTCCCTACTCTTGCTGTTGCATCCTCACTTTGTTGGTGACTATAAACTGCCACCATGTATTGTTTTAATTTTGAGCACAATGTGAATTCTTTCCAAATGTGACTGATGTGCCCTCTTTTGGGGCTAAGAACCCATAGATCACGTGCACTTCTCCTCTGTGAAATGAAACCTCTGGTGCTTCTTTCTTTGCCACCTAATTTCCATGTTTTAATTTTGACCCAAAGCACTTAATACGTGAGGCAGCGTGACGCCACTGTTGCATAGTCTGAAGGAACACGTGGTGTCACTTTTATATGATGTCCTGGTATCCCAAGGGGTTATTAATAACAAACCTTGCTATGCTGAAAGGAAAAAAGAGAGAAAAAATGAACACAGGCCCATTGGGCTCAGGAGAAGCTGAACCTGACTACTGTGCAGAAAGAGGCAGAGACGTTCCATTTGTCTGGGAAGCATCATGCGTACTGCTGTTTGATAGAAAGCATTAGAACAGTCATTCAGTAGAGTATTACAGTGTGATTTCCTGCATGTAGCTTGAATAAAGCCTTGATTGGTGTGTTGTAGGAAAAACGGATCGTGTCCTTGGATTCGGCCAACACCAGACTGATGAGCGCACTGACCCAAGTGAAGGAGCGATACAGCATGCAGGTCCGCAATGGCATCTCCCCCACCAACCCCACCAAGCTTTCCATCACGGAGAATGGTGAATTCAAAAACAGCAGCTGCTGACGGGCTTTGTGAATAGACAGACTGTGGGAGGAGACAGAAGGAAATTTCCCCACTCTCCAGTCCCCAGCCCTTTACCCAAACCCACCAGGTCTACAGAATGTTGCTACTTCAAAAGCATTGTGGCAAGAAACTCTTGAATGAAGAAAGGAACCTTGTCTTTCAGGGCATAAGGCTAAGACTTCCAAGGTCGATGCTTTACCCTCATGTCTCTATGTACATAGGGAACTTAGTCCTGGGCCATGTACAGAAAATACCACTGTAATATACCAAAAGGAAGTTAATAATGTAGATTACCTTTTTAATTATTGCTATTTTTATTATTGTTTTCCTCTTTGTTGAAAGCACTGCAGTTGTTAGAGGAGAAAAGTAGGAACTATGTGTGTGTGAGAAATGAGCCCAGGGGTTCAGTAGGTAGAGACCAAGTATCTGTCTGATAGAAGCACATGGTGTGCAATAGGACATTGTCAGAATGAATTTTTCAGGGATTCATCTGCCAGTTTAATAACCCCACTCTGGCCCCCTTGTCCTTTAGGAAAACATGCAAATACCAAGATCCAAACAAAACAGTTTATCCCATTGATCAACCAAGACTGGTTCTGGATGGACAGCTGATCTGATTTGGGGATGCACTGTTTCAGAGGACACAGATAAGAGCTGTTGCATCAAAACTGGACTTTAGGAGTGATTTCTACTGAACTCCTGTTGATGTGTATTTCCTTCTGTCAGTAGCAGATGGGAATTTTCCATTTTAGATAGGGGGCGCTTTTTTTTACTCCAGTTGTAATAAAGGGTGTTCTTTTTCCTCTTTAGAATTTACAAAGCTATAAATATTTGTGTCTCTATATACCACCTTCATCTTCACACACCCACTGCCCTTTCCTCCCCCATGTGGGAGCAGTCATCACCAACAGGGTTTACTCTCCCCTGGAGAGGTTATTCAAAGATGCTGTCCATAAGCCATCTGAAGTCAGCACCCTTTCTTCTGCACAGAAAAGGGCTAACCATCCCATAGCAGGAATCTCTGAATATTTCCTATTTAGAAAAAAAAAAAAAAGACATTTTCTATTGGTAAGTTATAATTTTTGTTTGGTATGAAGATTTTATCCATTGTACTAGCAAATCTCCGGGCACAGTAATCTTATCTCAGTCTTTAACTTTTAAATTGCTTCTTTTCCTAATCCTCTCAGTAAAATTTGGAAAGGAAATCCAAAGCTGAAGCATCACTCTCTTAAAAGTCATGATTACTCTTATAAAAAAGAAAAAGTGTGAAGATGGCACAGTTGTTATTCCAGTTGTTATTCCCACGCTCTTAGTAGATTTGGCAATAATGACCCAGTTTCACCAATTGTCATCCTTGGCTTTATTGTGGGACAGAAACAAGTCATGGAAGCTAGTTTACTTCCTTTTTTCCAGAGGTGTGAAATGTCATCTTGAATGCAGACTTGATTATCAGAAGTATGGAATGTTACATGTTAAACAGATATTATATATACAAATATATATACATATATATTCACACGTATGTACATATAACTGCACAAATAGGAAAAGTTCATGCCTTCTATGCTGTCAGATATAATGTTAAAAGGGTTTTGAATCTCTTTAAGCAAGATCTAAGCGGTCGTTTATATTGAGAAAGCAACAACATTTCTCAAATAAGTTAATGATGTTTATTTAAGTAAATTATAAACTTTAGGGAAATTTTTAAAAAGGAAAGGGGGAGAGAAAACAAAAAAAAAGGATCTGAGGGAGCCATATGCATGGAGTGGGTGTTTCTACAGAGCAGAATGTTTATAAGGGAACAGGAGTGAAGCCCAGACAGACCCCAAGCCCCCCTTTCACCACGCCATGCTTGCGCACTGCTCTCTCTCAGTGGATCTTTATGTCGGACCTTGCATCGTCAGCAACATCACCATGGCCCCCCAGCCCCAACCTTCTAAAACATTTCCCTTCATAACACTCCCATGTCTCCCAGTCAGATCTAAAACAGGGTTCTGCTCCTTGTGCTTATCTGATCTGCAGACTTCAGGCCCACATGTTTTGGCACTTGTATATTTTCTTGACCATTAGTAGTTACCCTACACATTCTCATCCCTTCCCTCCAAGCTGAGGGCATACTGTGGTCAAAATCACTTATTTTAATAGGAAAAAATTACCAATTCTGAAATAGTAGTGCCCCTTGTTGGAAGAGGGGGGATTGTATACATAGTCTGTACTTGTTTGTGGCTATTCTCAGCTCTAGCCATGTTTAATTAATTCTTTGTAAGAGCCTTCAACTGTGCCACAGAAAACCTGGTAAAAAGAATTGTCCGTTTTGATGGCCTTAAGTATGTAACGTGGTTCATGTCTTGCATTGAGGTTTGAAAGCTCTCAAGTGTTGGTTATGGATTACAGAGGGCTGATAAACATCCCTATATTGGGGGATTGGGGAAGACACAAAATTAAATGTTTTTGGTGGATGCCATATGTCTTGTTGGCATTGTGAGAGCTCTCTAGAGGGCTGCCTACTTTGGAAGATTAAATGCTCAAAAAGTTTGCATAGATTATGCAGCTCTCTATTATCAGGTTACCTTGAATGAAGAGAAAACGAGTGAAAAAAATTAAGGTTAGAAGTAAGCTAGAAGTTGAGAGTTGTTGCCAGATGTTAAATTTTAGAGTATCCTTTGAGCCTATCCCTATCCAAATATTTTTCTGAGTATTTGTTTAGAGAATGCTGCAATCTTTAGAATTATTCTGTAAGGTTTTTTTAAGTATGGAGGAAGGCAGCAACAGCTGATAATTTTTATGGAGGTGTTGCTTAATTGGCTTTTCTTCAGCCCAAATAGGTACATACCTCCTGTTTTGCTGGGAGGAGGTACGTGGTTGAAGACAAGCAGGAGGATTAAGATTCTCCTTGCACTCCTTCTTCCACTCGTCACATCACCACATTGTGGGGCTCAGCTTAGACCAGGGGTGAATGGGATTTGGAATTCAGGTGCAGTGCTTGCAAGCTGCGTATTGACCTGACACCAGACGTGGCCATTTGCAAGGACAGTTTTGGTGGAGTGTAGGCAAAGACCTTCACGTTCCCCTCTTATGTCACTGGAGCAATAAGCTTTCTAGGCCAAAGCAGCAAAAAGAGTCACATTTTCATCAGGCCATCATATTCCCCGAGTCTCTGCAATACCCGCCATGACAGAGGGGAGATGATAGCTAGGGAACTATAGCAAACCCTTGAGCACTTAGTGTTCCAGCCACTGTCACCAAGGGACTGTTGGGGTCTCAGGCAGTCTGTTGGTAAGGGAAATGTGGTAAAATGAGGTACTCATACTGCTATTGCTTTTTGCTTTTTTCACCTGGTATCAATAATTAGCTTTCTCTGGTCTGCTTCCATCTTTCCCTGTGATGGTGTTGGACAGTGAAAGATAAAGCAGGATTTCCTGTCTACGACTGCTGTGTGCCCTTGAGAATTAGCTTGACTTTGGACATAAAACTTTTCAGATCTTAGTCTACCTACCACCTTTGTTTATGGATCTGTAGTTCTGTGGACCTCTGGCTCTGTCTTCAGAGGCACACTGGATTTGGGAGCAATTCTTTTGTGGAAGTCCCAGAATAAGACAATTGCCATCAAGTGAGTTTGCATTCATAATTGGTTTGCCTTCCACCTAATTTTAGTTCTAGTTGTCTCCAGTTTGGAGTCCCTGAGAAGGCTGGTTGTGGACTGAACTTGTGGAAGGAACCCTCTTCAGGATTATCTAAGTCCCAAGTGACCCTGAGCCCCAGACTCGACACCAGACTAGAATTGTCACTGGGCCTGACTCAGCATCTCCAGAGCCCATGCCACAGCTTCCCTGCACTTCCAGGTGTACCTTTGGAGGCCACATTCTCCTGCAGATTGTGAGGGCCCAAAAAGGCTTTCTTCTTCATTCTCCTTCCCTTTTTCAAGTCTAGTAGGGAAATCTCCTGTTTGCCCCAGCAGTGAATAGTTGCCTTCCTACCACCTACCTGGGAGCCAAGAATTTGGGATACTTTGTCTTTATCAATATGTCAATTGAAAGGGCCTACTTTACTAGTTTTTTAAAAGCAAGGTATGTTGGGGCATTGAATTTTTAAATAGAATCTCTTTTCATGTTTGAGTGATTGTTATTCTTTCTAGAAGCATTCTCTTGTTGTCATGACCCAGTTATGAATGCTTTTGAGTTTAGGAAGGACAAAAGTGATGAAATTTGCATGAGATAGACTAAATATCTTATGAGGAGTGAAAGAACCTGAGGAAGATACCTGCTCCAGAAGGGAACTAATGCACAGCAGCCTTCTCAGTAGCCTGAAGGTTCGAGGAAACAGGAGGATTTACAGCCTTTGCCTGCTCTTAAAATACATAGATCTATGTAAAGGCAGTTTCTATAGACACCACACGCACAGCCACACGAAGCACACAATTCCCAGGGCTTCCTTTTTCTGAATGTTAATCCATCTTATAGACCATCGATTGCCAGACTTTCTTGAGTTTTTTAGATTTTATGCTCTCACTTTTTAGAGTTTATGAGAGTGGTTCTTTCCTCTTTAAAATGTACCATATGTGTTATATGTATATATAAGTTAATGTGACTTGAAATTGATTTGGTTTGACATTATCTCAAAAGCCCTAGATATTAGTATTGATACCATGGGGAGTCATAGAAAGAAAGTTGAATATCACTGATCTGACAGTAGGATCCAGAAAGAAGTCGCTTTGGTTCCTGATCAGGTAATCCTCAGGTGTTTGAGTAACCAACCCAGTAAGACTTGGCAAATGCAGTAAGCCACCCAAGGAAAGCAAAGTGGTAGTTTTTGCGCATATTTCAGCATGCATTTTCATTTCCTATTCAGTTCTTATTTTTTATCCAAATGCCATTCTCATTTTTCCCTAGGAAATTTTTTAGTTTGGGACTTAAAACCAGATTTATCTGTTGTTGTAGAGACTTCCACAGACGCTGTGTTTTAGGGGCCTCCATCATCTGTGGGGGCTGGGGGGTATAAATATCATGTTCATGTCATTTCTAAACACCCAAGTGAAAAATTTCAATTCCCAGTCCACAAAAAGGTCGACTACTAATTGACTCAATGACCACTATCCTGCAGAAAAGCTGAGATAAATAGTAAAGGTTAAATTTTGACTGGTGCTTAGACATTTCCTAGTTACATTAAAATTAACTCAAGCAGACAGCAGCATATTAACCTGAATCACACCTGTGAGGAATTTACCTTCTAAATTTGATTTCATTTTTCATCTCCAGGGCCTTAATAAGAATGTGTTAATACACATGACTATTTTACAATGATAGCTCTAAATAATTTATTTTTTATTTCAAGAAAGAGAAATACACCTTAGAAAAACAAAACCCAAGATTTTATTTTATTTTTAAAGCCATATTTTTGTGCTAGTAGCACTTAGATTGTTCCATATGTGAGATCCATATCTGCATTTCATTACCTGGGTTTGTTCTAAAGAAGATTTATTTTTGTTCTGTGAATAATTTTTGATGGTTCTTGTACATGTACAGATATAGATACGTTTGAGGTCTTTTATTGATATTCCTACAAAGAATACAAATAAACTTTAACTTTAAACATTTCAGACTAAAGTTGCTACTGTATTTGACATATTACTATCTTACTTCTAGCATATATCTGGGTGATTAGGATACTTGGAGAAAAACCAGAAAGAAAATGTATGAGGGAACATTATTCTGAAGGTATATTTTAATATTAGGAACAATGTGTCTTAGAATTTCCCAGCTTACAGGTAGATGCTTAGATGCAGGACAAATAGCTACCATTAACTATATGGCATTGTGATAATACCTTTAGAAAGCTCCTCATTCTGGAGCATTTGAAATCTCTTTAATGGCTTGTCGCTGATAAAGAGTCCTCCACTTTGTTTGGAAGTATGGCCCCACCTAGCTTCCCAGACCTCTACTGTCCTCTCAATTCCCCACATAGATTAATGGGGTTAATGGGGTTTGTTTCAGGATTTTTGTTGTTTGGTTCTTGGGATTTTTTGTTCTTGTTTGCTTGTCATTCTCAAAGTTATTGTTCTAAAATACCTCCATCTTCTCCTGCTTACCTATTTCATTCTATAAAATCCAGCGATGCAGGTTCCATGTGTAGTTTTCTTTAGTCCTAGGTGTAGGTCTGAAATTCCATCAGTTAGCCTCTTCACATATCTGGAGTTATTTCTAATTCTGATGTATTAGGAATTAAAAAACTAAAATTCACTTAAAATCCAGAGAAGATTGTACAAGGAGACTCCAGATCAGTAGATGTGTGCTATTTTTTGTTTACTTCAAAGCTGATCCATTTCAATCTGAATTTTTCACGACCTAACATAAGCTTTAAGACTTCTTGGATCTGAAACATCAAAAAGAAAGAGACTGTTGAAGAAAGAGACTAGTCATCTTAGCCCTAAACGGTCCACCTATATAGCCTCATGTCCAGCCATACCCTTTATTTTTCTGAGCCTCCCTCCAGCTGCCTGCCTTTTGTCAGCAACAGCTTCACCAATGGGAAAATACATAAATCAATTTTGTTAGGCCACCCCTCCCACCACCCCAGCAAAAAAAGAAAAAAGTTTGATGACAAAAGAGACTAAAACAAATGACTTAATCAGTGCTTCTCAACCCTGACTATTCATCAGAACCACTGCAGAACTTTAAAAAATAAAGAGCAGGGCTGCCTCTTACACTCCACCACTGAACAATTAGAGAGAATCTAAGGATGGGGGCCAGGGTTTTTTTAAAACTTCCCCAGGGGATTCTCACTTCAGCCAGGGGGAACAACTGCTAGTCACCAGGTGTGAGTGTCTGTTACAGTGTCTCTGTGTCCCCATCCCTGGAACTAGGATAAGTTGGCTACTAAAACTGATCATATGTACCATAGCTTCCCCCATACACACCTTGTCCCTACCAAGTTCATCCTTTACATCTGTAAGGCAGAAATTCTCTCCATTAATATGGGATAGATACATTGCAACAAACTTGACCAGAAGATGGAATTCCCCATTTTGACCTCAATTTTCCCATTATTGGCTTTAATTTAAAATAGAAGGCAGATGGATTCTGGTTTGGTTCCTCCCCTCCAAAAAAGGTGCCCTTGGCTTTTGTAGACCTAATACTCAGTAATGTAGTCTTATTACTTGAAATTTCACTAAAACATTTACCAGATGCTGAATTGCATCATTTGCACCTGTTCTGCCTTCAATAGCAAAATGCACTGAAAGCTCTGCAGTCACCCTGCCCATTCAGTGGCAGGCAGGCTCACGCAGTGTACACGCGCACACACACACACACACACACACACACACACACACGTTCTTTCTAGAAACTTGAGTGTGTGAGATTTTAGAATGAATTGCCTGGGTGCTATTTCTTCAGCCTATGAGTAAATTGCAATAAGCTACTAGATAAATGCCAGTCTGCGTCCTTGTCTGTAAAATTATGATTTTGGCTAGATGACCTCTGACATCTTCTGATTTACATCTGATATAACTGAAAAATGTGCTCTTAAACCATATTCAAAAATCAGCTTGAGGCTTTTGTTGCAATATTTAGGAACAGTTCTTCCTCTTCACAATCTCCTATCTCACAATACTCTTAAAAGAACAGGGGGAAAAAGCCTGGAACAAATGTATATTGGGAACAATAACAACATTGATGATAACAGGAACTAATGTTCATGTTTATTGAGCACTTACTATGTGCCAATTTGCTAAATAAGCACTTTATATGGATATTTCATTTAATCATAATACCAACCATGTGAGTTGGGTACTATTGTTCCTAATTCAGGAGGAAACTGAGGTTCAGAAAGATTATGTTACTTACCCAAGGTCACATGACTAATAAGTGGAAAGCCAAGACCCAAACTCAGGTCCTTCTGACTATGCTGTCTTGATTTTTTTTTTAAGAGTTCAGGAAAAATGTTGGAGAGTGTAAGAAAAAGATCTGAGAAGATCTCAGCACATGAACCAACCTGTCACCATGAGCCAAAGTGATGGCAGTGGGAACAGCTGAGCTCATTTTCCAAAGCATTTTCTCCTAATATATTGGTTTTGACAGTATTGCCTTGCATTGTCAAGCCATCTGACTGATCAAAATTAAAAGTGGGCAGAAGTCTCACCTCGCTCAAAAATTTGTCTTTCATGTCTTCTGGGTCCATCTGAGCTGGGATGGTAAAATCTGCTTTCAGGATTCCAAAGAGCTGCCCTGAAAAAGAAAGCGCTCCCTGGTTCAGGGGAAATTACCCTGTTGCCATTTGAAAACTCCAAGTTCTGAGCAGTCAGGAGTGCCCACTGGACATCATAGATGCTCCATGGAGATTAAGGATCTCCAAAAGGAAGAAGGAGAAAGAAACTGCTGAACAGGAGAATGCCCAGCCACAATTAGGACCAACCAACCCATGGCTGAAAGGCGAGTCTCCTGCCGAAGGGCAATGCTGGTTCTACTCCCGCATCCTGGCCACCCTCAGGGGACTACTGTCTTTCTGTCTCTCCTGTATTTTCCCCCTCCCTTTGAATCTACTAAGTAGATGCTCCACACCATGCTGGAAATACCTCTCCCTGGGCCCACATTTGTAAAGGCCAGCTGTACCCCAGAAAACTCTGAGTTCTCTGAGTCTATAAATAAGGCCAGCCTTTGGCCGTGAGCCACTGTAATCATCACAGGAACTACACCCTCATGCTAGGACTCCTTAGATTTGTATAACATCTTGTCATTTTGCACAGTTATCTCACCGGGTGCTTCCAACAGCCCTGGATGCAGGCAGGATGGTCTTTGCTATAGCCCTCTTGTAGATGAGAAGTAGGAGAGATTCTAGACGAAATTTGCTCTCCGGGCTTTCACGATAGTCAGGGAACTAATCTAGGATCCTCATCCTTGTTCCTATTCCTGTTCCCTTCCCAACAGGTCATGCTGTCTTTCATAAAAAAGTCTTGCGTGCCCTGTACTAAGGAGTGGCTATCCAGACTTAACTTGCTCAGTTGTTAAGAGCGGGAACTTGGTAACTGGAAACAGTTACCTGATTCTGATGCTGGAGTTTTTTCTTTAGAATCTGGGTTGTTAGACGAGCTCAGATGTTGGGCCTGAGTGGCAGTAGCTGCATCTCTCATATCAGTGCCATTCGCTTCACGGTGACAGATATAGGAGAAAATAAAGGAGTTATTATTGCAAATTCAACCAGGAGCAAGGTGGTCTGAGATTGGTGACTGCCCCAAGCTAGAAGACAGGCATGAGCAGTCACTGCTGTGCACACAGTTGCTGCAGAAGCCATCCAGCGTGGGAGGCTCAGACCCCACCACTCCTTGACTTAACTCCCACAGGCTCGTGTACCCAGCCCTTGAGTTGCTATACCATTTCTCATAAAGTGTCCCTGATATCAGGATTTGTGGGGATTGGGCAATATTATGAGATTTCTCCCCAGTACCAAATATTATGTTTCAGTAGTTCCTACCCCAAGATGCCCAATGCTCTTATGTTGTCTGGCAGCTACACAGAGCCCCCACCATGGCACCCAGGGACCCCCAACATCTCCATCAAAGGGTAGCACCTCAAACTCAACGCGTTCTAAAACATAGCTCAGCCTTCCCCCAGCAACCTCCTCTCCCCTGTATGGCTGCCCATCTCCTGAGGCACTCCAGCCACAGACCCCAGGGATCCTCAGCTGCTCCCTTACTCCCTTTCACGTGCTCTCATGTTCAGTCACCAAAGTCCTGTCAGTGCCTTGCAGATGTCTTTTTTTCTTTTCAAATATGGAAATAACCATATTGGTTTTGTGGTATGTTATTATAAAATATTTAAGCAAAAGCATCCTCTCCCCTAACCCAGGGACAACCATGATTAACAGTTTGCTTTAGAATATCCTTCACACACTTGAATTTTTTAATTTGAATCTGTGAAGATCTACCTTATTCCCTTTAAAGGCTGCCTAGTATTTCTTTGAATGCACCATAACTTACCTAACCAGTCTGCTTTGAGTGGACATTAGATTGCCTCCCGTTCTTCACTGTAATAAACAGTGCTGCAAAAACAACCCTGTATGTGGAGGATGTGTATATATGTGTGCGCTTTATACTGTTATTTCCTGAATAAATTTCCAAGGGTAGAATTTCTGTATGAAAGGGTTTGCACATTTCAGAAATGACAATGCATTGCCAACACGGTAGCACCAGTTTACTCTCCTAGCCAGTGTTTGAGGTCGCTGATTTTCCCACATTCTCATCAGCATTATCACCCTTTTAAATCTTTGCCAAAATGGTAAGGAAAAAAATTAAAATGCATCTTTCTTTTAATTTGCATTTCTGTGGTTCAGTAAACAAAGCTGAGCATTTTTTTAAAAATGTTTTCATATTTATAGTTCTTCAATTAATGTCACTTGCAAATGATGTCAGATCACTTCCCTCCTCACTCCACTGCTCCAGATCTGGCCTCCATTCTGCTCACCCAGACTGTGCAGCAGCCTCCACGCAAACACCTGTCTCTCCTGGGTGGCCTCCTCTCCAAATGCCCTCTTCCTTCCCCACCCAAAGTATTGTAAGTTTCTTTAATGAAATGAATAAATGTGTAAAATCCAGAAACACAGAAGAGGGAAACACTCATATTCTCACCGCCTGAATATAACCACTGCTGATGTTTTCACACATTTCCTTCCAATCTTTTTTCTAAGCATTGGTTGATGTTTCCTTTCAGTGGTGGTGTGATGGTATTATGTGTATAATGTGGAATCAAGCCTATTTCCTTCAGCATCCTTATCCAAGCCTTGGTCCATGTCATTATAACCACCTTGCTCCTATTAACTACACATCTGAGCATACTGCTCATTTGCTAAAAACCAGTCATGGTTCCCGACTGCAGCATCGAGTCCTTCAGAATCTGGCCCCAGTGCACCTCTTTCCCCTCATCCCTTGCCACTCCCTTCTCACATATGTGACCTAGACTTCAGTCACATCAGACTGTTTGTCATCCCCAAACCGCACACTTTCATATCTACCTGTCTTTGCCCATGCCGTTCCCTCTGCCAGGAAGAACCTTCTAGTCTTCGCTGCCTAGTGAGATTCTCCATTACCTTTTGGCCAGTTACCACCACCTTTCCAGGCAGAATGAATGAGTCACTTTCCTGCCAAGGCTCTTGCCCCACACTTCTGGTGCAGCACTTATCAGACTGTCCTTGTCATCTCTATTAGTCCCTATTAGACTAAGCTCTTTTAAAAACAGGAAACAGGTCCTGCTCATCTTGGCATCCACAGTTCAATGCCTTGTTCAAAACAGGTACTCAGGAAATGGCTGTTGAATTAAATCATCTACCAGTGTGCAAAACACTGTTCTAAGCCTGGGAAAGAGACAGAGAGTGATAAAACGGTTTCTGCCTTGTCAGATTCCATGATCTCAATAATTCATAATTGCGATCATTCATAATCATTTATAATTAACAAAATAAGAATGAGGCCAGCCCTGCCTCCTGAATAAGGTAAGGACAGAGGCCGGAGATGGAGTGAGTCATGAAGCATTTCACTAGCGATTAGAGATGAGAATGGTAATAACTACCATTTATTGTCTGCCAGATGCTGGACACTGAAAGGTACCTCATGACATTGGTATTTTTCTTCACTTTAAAGATGAGAAAAATGAAGTTCCTAGAGCTTAGGAGACTTGCCTAACGCCACACAGTAAGTAGTAGAGCCAACACTCCAACCCTTGGCTGTCAGACTCCTGCGGCCTCAACAGACTGTTTCTCCCCTAGATCGCCCTACCCTAAGCTATTACCAGGGAGGAGGAGAGGGTGACCCGGCTCTGGCCCCACAGGGTCCCCTGTAGAGTGGACTGGAATGCCGCCAAGCGGGGACACCATGTGCCAGCACACAAGCCGCGCCCTCAGCCTCCCCACCTGTGGCCTGGGCCTGGAAGCCAGGCTTGGTCTCTCCAGGGGAGGAGCAGGGCACTGGGGCCGGGCCCAAGGCTGGGTCCCCGACCCCCAGCGACGCAGGCAGGCACCTGTTTGAGGGCCGGGCCGGCTCCCAGGGCTCTCCGGGCTTGCGGCCTGGCTCGGGGTCGCCCACTCAGGGCGAGCGGTGCTTCTCTGGGGCGCCGTCGGGCTCCCTGGGCCGGAAGGCCCCCAGGGGCTTCCTTCTGTCCCCAGAACGCTTCCCTGAGTCCCGGAGCCGCGGCACCAGCTGGGCGTAGCCGAGCCCGGGGGCGCCGCCTGCCCGGGGGTACTGGAGGCGCCGCCGGTGGAGCCGGGGGAGGGGCCCGCGGTGGCCTCCCGCGAAGAAACGGGCCGGCCCTCGGTGACGAGGTGCTCCGGGGACGCAGGGACAGCAGCAGGGCTCGAAGCGGAGGCCAGAGCGGTCCCGCTCACGTCTTGGGGGCCCGAGACCCTCCCCGGGGGCGCGGGGCCGGAGGTCGCGCTCGGGCCGATCCCCGGCGGGCCCTGCGGCCCTTCCCCGTGGCCCGCGGACGCGGAGGCGCGGGGGGCGCGCGTGCCGGGGCCGGAGCCGGTCCCTGCGCAGGAGAGAGGGCCTGCGTGGGCGCCGATGGCCGCGAGCGAGGGCCGCCCGGGGCGGGGCGGGGCGGAGGGCCGCTGCCCGGGGCCTGCGGCGGCCCCGACGCCCACTGCGGACAGAGGTGCGCAGGGCGGGTGCGGCCGAGGCCGGCGGGCCTGGGGCAGCCGGGCGGGCGCCGGTTCGACCGTACATGGGAAGCGGAGGACAGGCTCTTACCCAGCTTGTGAGCCGAATGCGACCCCAGACTCCAGCCCGGGTGCCGTGGCCTTCAGGTGAGGACCAGGGGTCCCTAGCAGTTCTCCGGGGGCCCTTGCAGGATCCGGGCCTGCCTGCGCAGCGCTGAGCACCTCTGACCCCCCTGCGGCCCTACCTGCACCCCCTTCCCGACCCCACCTCCACTCCCCTTTGCCAGCTACCTCCTCCTCGTGATTCCAAGTCACCTCCTCCAGGAAATCCTCCTGGAATTACCGGAGCCGGGGCAGTCCCCTTCTCCATGTCCCCTCCGAGCCTGTGACTACACAGGCAGCATCGCCTTTCAGGAGCCCTCTTCCTAGCTGGCTGTCATCTCTTCAGAACCGGCCCTGCCTTTTCTTTGTGTCCCCAGAATTAATGAAGCTCTCTGCGACCATGAGCAAGCCCCCTAACTTCTCTGTGTCCTCAAAAAAGGCAATAATCCCTTTGTCTGCTGTCAGAACCTGTAAAGAAGCCAGGAGAACTGTGATTTTGCCCTCAATTATCCCAGTTAGCTTCAGAACTCTTGGGAAGCAAAATGAGGTAATAGCTGTGAAGATGTTCAGGAATTTAAAAATGCTGAAGGAACGCCATCACTGTCATTCCCAGCCATGTGCCCATACAGCTTCCCAACACCTCATCCGTCATCTTCCCTCCTCCCAGAGAAGCCCAGACGGCACGTCCACTGCGCTTCCCTCTCTGGGCGCCGAACCTCAAAGGCTTCTCTGATGATTTTTCCTCTGGAGCTCTGCTCAGCATCTTCCCCTCTGTCTCCCGGGCCAGGCCCTCATCACCTCACCTGAGAGATTGCACGGCCTCTCTTGACTGTCCTGGCCCTGGAGCTGCAAGTTCAGTGGCCCAGTTCAAGGAGGAAGGTTGATGGTGACCGAGTCCTCCTTGTCCCAACCCCAGCTGGCTCAGCAGGGTGGGTGGCGCAGGGAAATCCCTCCCTGCACAAGGGGCCCGTGGTTGCCACCCAGTTGGCTCACCTCTTTTCTGGCCCCTCCCTGGCCCTTCTGGGAGGACCCATGGGGCCCACCTGTGCCACGGCACGCAGGCCGCCCTCTCCATTCCCCATGCCCTGGAGACCTCAGAATCCAGCCAAGAACAGGGTCAAAACACCCATACAGAGCAGACAATAGGGGCGTGTACTTGGACTGGGCGTTGTCCCTGCTGTCACGTCTGAAGAGGGAGCGTAGAAGAGCTGAGGGAGCGCTGCCAACTCCCGGTGTCCACTGGAGGCGTCTGCGGGAAAACAAGGAGCGTGAGTGTGAGGACAGGGCTGATGCAGGACACACAGCAACCCATCACACCCAGCCGGCCTGTGAGAAGTCCCACCGGGCATTCAGGGACCAGCCTTGTCACAGTAACCAAAGTGAGGAGGGCTCGTATAGTGTACATTTGCCACGTGCCACTCACGGGATAGGTGCTCTCACAGTCTTTAATCCTCACCACAGCTCTTCAAGGGAGGGACCATCCTCCCTATTTTACAGACAAGGTCATGACTCTCATCAAATCCCACAAAAAGAAATAGCCAAGAGCAGGCAAATCCACAGAGACAGGAAGTAGATTAGTGGTTGCCAGGGCTGAGACTGGGGGAGAATGGGGAGTGACTGCTAATGGGTGACGAGTGTCTTTTGGGGGTGATCGAAATGTCCTGAAAAAAGATGGTAGTGATGATTGGACAACCCTGTGAATATACTAAAACCCACTGAACTGGACACTTCAAAAGAGGGAATTTTAAGATATATGAATTAGATCTTGATAAAGCTGTTACAAAAAAGAAAGAAAAGAGGGAGGAATAAAGAGAAGAAAAGAGAGAAGGAAAGGACAAGGCAAGATGAGGCTTGTGGCTGAGGAGACATGTTATAAACGAGATCCAGAATAACCAGGAGGCCTCTGGTTCCCATGCATTCGTAGTGACATGGACGATGACGATAGCTAATATCCATCGGGTGCTCACTCTGTGCCAGGGTCTCTCCCAGGTCCTTTCTACACATTCTCATTCAGTCTTCAGAGCCATCCTGTGAGGTGCGTGTCATCAATATCATTGTGTTAAATATATTCCCCAGACGAGGAAAAGGAGGCCCAGAGATGCTCCCACCTTATTTCTAGCGAGTGGTAAAGTCTATCTGATTCCAAAGCTCACTTTAAATCATTTCCTGGCCCAGCAATGTGTTGCCATTGCTAATTCCTAATGCCCTGAGGCTCTTGGGTCCATTCTATTCTTTAAAGATCCCCCAGAATTAAAATAAAGCCTGCTCCAGAACTCGGTTATCCTCAGAATCTAGAAGTGCTTCCTTAGGTCTATCCTCAGTGTCTCCTGCTGCCACGTAAACCCATTTCCCATCCCGTTCTAGCCTTGGTGGGCCACGTGCCCGTGGGGTCAGCTGCCACTCACTGTAGAAGCAGATGAAGGGCTTCAGGGCAGAGCAGACATCTGAAGAAACTCTGGGGGCGTAGCGCGCAAAGATGCGAAGTCCCGCACACAGTCCTGGCCAGAACTCGGGCACCTGCAGCCAGTGGGGGATGCTGGCACCCAAGTCACTGGACCAGCTCAGAGACCGAGAGGCCGCATTGAAGTAGAGGCCAATCCAGGCCTCAGTGTCACTCGTGATGGACTTCAAGGCCTCCCTGTCTGCCTCGTCAATCACCGTCTGCAGGTCGGCCAGGTCCGTCTGGTGACTGCGGCAGTACTGCAGGGCCGCCAGCCACGTCATTCCTCGGTCAAATCGCGTGAAGGTCTGTCCGCCAATCTGGATCACAGCTGGAGACAGAGAACATAAAGGCCACAAGCCTGAGGTCCTGGATCTCTGACATCCGGCCCTCATCACCCCTTGGGGACAGAGCTCTGGTCTGACCCCCGCCCTTGTCCCCAGTCCCTGGGTGTTAGGTTTGATCAAAACCACAAGTTTATAGGCAGGCTAAATACTAGGTTGGGAGAATGAATGAGCTTTCATAGCAGCAGCTGGGTGAAAGAACATTTGGAAAAGCCGGGGTTAAGAGCTCTCCTCATGGCTAAATGGCCTTATGAGGGAAGTCTAAGTCTCAGTTTCTTCACCTACATTCATTGAACTTACAGGATTACGTGAAACCATATACAGAAATGGTTTAGCACAGTGCATGCAAATACAGACTCTTTATTAAGTGGTAGGCAAACTTTGGGGGAAGATAATGAGGGATGTGGGACAGTCCTGGCTTGGAGTCAGCCTCCTTGTGATTCCCAGGGGCTGGGCCTGCTGGGCTGGCTCTCAGGAGGCTGCAGGGCTGAGGCAGAAGAGAGGAAGTGTGTGATGTTCCTCATGACATCAGGAGAGCCAAGGAGAAGGGGCGAGCCTGCCGAGGGACAGACGTGCTGGACAGGAGGCAGAACAGGCCTGTGCCCAGTGGCCCTGACTTCTGGTGGAGCTCGGACAGACCAAGACACTAGCCTCCCACAGTCTCCACCCTCAGTCCCCACATGCCCTGCCCCTTGCCAGGCCTGTCACAGAAGCCCAAGCAGCTGTGATTCTAAAGGATGGCCATTCGGAAAGGATGCGCTTCAGCACCGCCTGAGGGGTGGTCCCAGAGACCTGATACAGGAAACTCTCTGTTTGCAGAATTGGGAGTCACATCCTCAGATTCAAACAGGGCCTCCCAGCTCTCTGACACAGGCCTGCTCACCTAAGCCCGGCAAGATTTGCCTAGTTCCCTCATTTCCCTATCTAAGCTGACTTTTTTTTTTTTTTTTTAGATTTTTTTTTATTTTTTCCTTTTTCTCCCCAAAGCCCCCCAGTACATAGTTGTATATTCTTCGTTGTGGGTCCTTCTAGTTGTAGCATGTGGGACGCTGCCTCAGCGTGGTTTGATGAGCAGTGCCATGTCCGTGCCCAGGATTCGAACCAACGAAACACTGGGCCGCCTGCAGCGGAGCGCACAGACTTAACCACTCGGCCACGGGGCCAGCCCCTAAGCTGACTTTTTTAAGGTTACCCTTTACTAGACACCCAGTGCTCGCCAGCCCCAAGCTATGCATGTGGCGTACATCATCTTTTTAAATCCTCACTGTGATCCTGAGAAGTGGCCTTTATTAACCTCATTTATAGAGGAGAAAAGGGAGGCTCAGGGAAGTGAGGACTTGCCCAAATTCATGCCATCTTCAGTGGCAAGACGAGATTCAGATGAGGTCTGCTTGCCTTGGAAGCCTATGACATTTTCTCTCTACAACTTCCAGACTCCATAAGGCAGAAAACCAGCTCTATACAGCAGACTCACAGAGGAGTCTGTCTCCTTCATCACAGAATTTCTCTACATCAGACATGGAGAAACTGTTTTTTAATACCAGGGCGGTACTATCCAGAGGGGGAGTCCCCCTTACAAGATGGATGGCCTGGGCTGTGATGAGGTGCTGCCCATGCCTCCACCCCCAAGCCACTGAGGTGGGGCCATCAGAAGAGCTGGGATGCAGCCTGGGCAATGCCACTTCCTGGTTAGAGACTTGAGCAAGTCACCTTCCCGTCTGGGTCCATCTGAATAATAAGGGCATTGATCCCTTCCGTGGGTCTCAGCCTGGGAGCAGCAAAGTGAGGGATCCCTCAGCCAGGCAGGGGTGGGGGGAGCAGAGGGCACAAGGTGGCATGAACCTGCCAGCTGGTCCAGGTGGACAAGGCCAAGGGAAGGCGAAGCTCCTGAGAGCGTACCTGGCTTTGGAGAGGTGGTCAGCCTGAGAGCAGGCCCCGTGAAGATGCGGTTTCCCATGGCAGCGGCTGTAAAACAGAAACAGACGCCACGTTCTGCGGGGAGTGGGGCTGCCCAGGCTCCTCTGCAGGCCCCAGGAACCACAAAGTTGAAGCCAGGAGAAGCCTAGCTCAAGAGTAGGCTTGTTCATTCCTATCTACATTTATTCAATAAATGAGCACCTACTGTGTGGCGGATGCTATTTAGGCCCTGGGGAAACAGCAGAACTAAGACAAGCCGGATCCTTGCTCTTGAAGAGAATATGAGAAGGAGCCAGCCCTGCAGAGAGGCGGGAGTACCCTGGGCAGAGCCAAGGCTGAAGTCCTAAGTTGGGGGGGGCCGTGTGTGTGAGAGGAGCAGAAAGCAGCCAGGGTGGCCCCACAGAGGGCTAGGAGATGAGGCCAAAGAGACCAAGCAGGGCCTGGTTGGCTACCACAGGCATGTGATTCTAAGTGCTAGGGGAATCTATTGAATATGTTTAAGCAAAGTGATCTGATTTACACTTTTAAGAGCTCACTCAGTGTAGAGAACAGACTGGAGGGGGCAGGGGCAGACCCCCATGGAGGCAGTGGTGGTGTGCGCTGGGGTGCACTTGCAGAGTCCCAGAGAAGTGGGTGGAGTCGGCACCTGTCTTGGTGGAGTACTGAGATGCCAGACAGAGTGGGAGAAAGCCCAGCACACACAGCTCTTCCTTGGAGGGGACTCCCAGCCCTGCACGCACACCACTCCTAGAAATCTCTCTACTGGCTTGGGAATCCCAAGGTCAAACCTAGGCCACAGTGGGTGTCATTCCAAGGCCCTATGACAGGCATGGTGTGGCAGAGAATTGGGGTCACATCAGGCTGGTCACCCATGCCCCTGTCTGAGGGGTTAGTGTGGTATAGAGTTGGGCTTGGCTGACAGAGAAAAGCAGAATCTGACATTTTTGACCAGGAAAGTGCTGTCTGGTTGGTTACATCCTTCTATGTGATCTTCTCAGCACCTTCAAGACAAAGGTCAGTGGCGTAAGCTGTGTGGACAGAGAGGGGCCAGCCAGGGGCAGGATGGGACGCTGTTCCCCAACAGCCAGCATCATGCACATCGAGTACCAATAGCGGACTTCCTGCAGAGACGCCCGAAGGAGCTGGCTCCACCCGCCCGCTCCCGGAGGCCGCGGTTGTCTCCGGGAGAGGCTGGTCCACCCTCCCCGGCCCCATGAGACATGAAACCAGTCTGTGCGTCCTGAGAACGGCAGAGACCTTGAATTCCACTCCGGTTTCTGCAGAGAGGCAAATGGATCCCCCACCTGCCTTTCCTTTTTTCCTCTCTTTTTCCTCTTCCCCCAAATCCTTAATTGGCAGAAGGAGGGGACATAGTGGAACATTCTGGAGTTTACTTTTGCTCTACCCTGATTTATACCTATTTCTCTGATGGAGTCTTGGGAATGAGGGACAGAGGAAATAGAAACTGAGGCCACAGAGAAGAATGTAGCAAAAACGGTTAAAATAACAGTCACTTATCCTCTGAAAGAATTGAGCACTCTCTCTCTCACTCTCTCTCTCCCTCCCTCCCTCTCATTGGCTCTTGAGAAGCGAACCTGGGAGGAAGACCAGGCCCAGAGTAAGACTCTGAACACACCATCGTAGCTGATGAAGGGCTTCTGAGCTGTGCAAAGACGGCCCCAGGATGGGGACAAGGGATATGGAACACAGAGCGGCACAGCCCTCCCTGAAGACCAGCAGCAAGCTCCACACCAGGGTGGTGAAGGTGGAGCCACCGGACCAGCTCAGGCCGTGAATGTGCACATCAAAGGCCAATCCACTTGCTGCTCGAAAGCGAGTAGCGAGTAGCAGGTGTCCACATGGTGTCTGTGTGGTGCAGCCTGCCATCCCGCAGGGCGTCAGACCAGCTCAGCTCCTCCTCCCCCCTCCAGAAGCTCTTATTGCTCATCAGCCACAGGACTGGGGCAGGAGAGGTGGTCATCGCATGGCTGTCCCCGCCTGACCCCCTAGTCCCCAAGGAGCTTTCAGCTACACCACTGGCAGCCTCTTTATCCTCTTCTCTCCACTCCATCCCTCACCACTGGTCTCCTAGTTGTACACAGCTTTGCCTCCAGGCCTTTGCACAAACTGCTGTCTTGGCCTGAAAGGATGGGCCACCCCAGCCAGCTCCCTCAATGCCCCATTCTCTAATTCCCTCATCTCCCACTTCCCTTCACCCAGCTAACTCCTCACCCCTCTGCCCCCTCCTGAGTAGGTGCCCTTCCTGTTTGCTCCAATGCACCCTCCTCAGGGCTTAGTAACCATTGATGGTATTTACTGAGCACTCGGAACATGCCATTCGCTCATTGAATCCTTCCAACAGCTCCTTAGGACAGATAGACATCACTCCACATGTTTTACAAATGAGGAAAGCAAGTCACAGAGAGATAAGTAACTTGGCCAAGGCCACCCAGTGGGAAGGGATAGAGCCAGGACCCAAGGACCCTGGGCAGGGCTCCCAGGTCCAGGCCCTTGGTTCACAGCATGGTACCGCCCTGACATAGGCCTCAGGGGCTCGGAACTGGGGCTGCACATTAGAGTCACCTGGGGGGCTTTTCAAACACACCGATGCCCAGGCCCACCCTACAGCGAGGATCTGAATCTCTGTTGCTGGGACCAGCATCAGAATTTTTTTAAAGCCCCCTGGGAAAGGACGTTTTTCCTCGTCTGTCTCTCCAGGCAACTTGGGAGCAAAGAACAAGCCTTATTCATCATTGTATTCCCCGTGCCCAGCACATAGAAGGGCTCAGCATGTTGAAAATGAATGAATGAATGAATGAACTAATGAGCAAATCGGACTTCTCCCAGGAGCCAACCCCACGCCCCAGGATCTCAGTGCTCGCTTCCCTCCTTCCCTGCCTGCACGCGCCTGTGGAGGTCCCAGCAGACGAGGGCTGGCCCAAGGGCGACTCTGCTCTGCCCAGTGCCTGCTTGTGCAGAGGGGTCAAGGCGGGGAAGGCACCTCTCGCTGCCAGGATCCTAGGACCAACCTCAAGCCAGATGCCCTAGAAGAGGAAAATAAGCCTGAAGAACTGGGCTCACAGCATGGCAAGAATATGCCCAACAGAGAGGAGGACAGGAAAAAGAGTGAGCTCCCGCCCACCAGGGTCCAAAGTTGAGAACAGTTGGAGGATCCCGGGGTCAATGAAACAGAATAGAAAAAATTACTTTTCTTACGATGTGTGATTCACTTTGATATTTTTTCTCCTGTTTTGCTTCATTTTTTAAAATCCCTGGCTGTGGCCCGCTAAATTGATTTTAGGATATAATGGGTCACCACCTGCAGTCTGAAAAATGCTGCCACCCCAGCTGATCTCCCGGCTTTAAACACTGTGTGCTGACAACTCCCAGATTCCAACTCCACCACTGAGCTCGCGCACGTGTGTCCGACTGTCCGTTCCCTACATACGCATAGACCCATCCTGCCCATCTGTTCTGTCCTGGTCCTCTCAGCTCCTTCCATGGCACCCCTCAATCCAGTACCTCAAGCCCCAACCCAAGAGTCATTGTTGGCCCCTCTCTGTCCCTATACTTAACATCCAATCACAGCAAATCCCGTCAGTCCTACGGCCAGCGTGTATCTTGAGGCGTCTTGAACTTCCCACTGCCACCCTCGCCCAAGTCAGCATCCGCTCTCTGGGACTGATGGCGCTGGCCCCAACCCGTCCATCTGCTTCTGTCCCCAGACATCACAAGACATCCCCACTCCACAGCCAGAGGGACCTTTCCAAGACAGTCACTCGTCACTCTCCTGGGTTACCACCTTCACGGGCCCACAGCCCACAGGCCCTGCAGTCCTGGGCCTGCTCCTCTAGGAAGCATCCTGGGCCTCTGCCTTTGTTCCTCACACACACCAGGCTCCTCCACTGGGCTCTTTCCTGTGCCTGGCGACCTTTTTCTGGCTTTATTCTCTGCAGTTTCCCAGTTTACTCCTTAGATTCAGCCCAAATCTTTCTCGGAGAAGCCTTCCTGCCCACTTGACCTCAAAAACGCCCCACGGGCCTCTCCCTGTGACTGTCCCGCTCCTGTCCCCGATCGTCTCCTTCACTGCGTGTGTCACGTTTTGTAATAATCTTGTTTACTCTCTTCTTGCCGAATGTCCGCCTCCCACTAGAATGCCAGCTCCTGAACTCGGGGACCGTTTCTCACTGGCCCTGCTAGGCGCTTGGTAAGTATTTGTTGGTTAGACGTGTAAATGAAGAAACGAATGGGTGAAATTACACGCAGAACAGCGAACTCCAGGCCTGGACCCTGGGCCCGAAGACTCGGGAGGGGACGGAGAGGCAGCACGCGGGGGGGTAGGGGTGAGGGCTCCGCCCACCGCGCCTGGACTGACAGATGAAAAGCATTCATTTCTTTCCACTTTGTCTCCCCTACAACCTGGGACCCTCGGGGGAAAGGTGCCCGGCCCTGCACCGCCCCAGACCCTAGCCCTGTGCACGCGGGGAGCCCGGTGCCCTCCTGCTGAGCCCGGTGCTCTCCTGCCGAGCCCCGGCGGCCTTACCTGCTGCGCGGAGGGAGAGCAGCAGCGCCCAAGCCAGCATGCTGCGCAGGACAGGCTCCCCGCCTCCGGCAGAGGCTGGCATGGTCTGGTTATTTCTTCCTTGCTCTGCACTCTCCTCCTCTTTCCAACCCAAACTGACAGATTTTACTAGACAAATGTTTATTCAGTGCCTACTGCATGCCAGCCACGGTTGAGGTGCTGAGGACAGCCTGAGTAAAGCAGAAAAGATCCCCGTCCGCCTGCAGCTTACAGGGATCCGGGGAGGCAGGGAGTAGGGTGACGGAGGGCAGGCTCCGTTAGACCCTGGGGTCCTCAAGGGCCAGAGTGGAGGGAGACAGAGGAAGGGGTTGGGAGGCAGAGAGAGGAGGAGGTGGGGAGGGAGGAGGAACTGGCATGTGTGCGCCAGGCGGCGCTGGGCCGTCCTCCCTGCCCACACGCACAACCACCACCACACTAGGGAGAGGCCACCGTGGTCCCCAGTTCACAGGTGAGAAACTTGTGGCCCGGAGAAGGGAAACCACTTGCTCAAGACTACATGGTAATAGGAAGCAGCGGGGCAGCAATTCAGGCTCAGGTGCCCGGAAAGCAGGAGGTAGGGAGGCGCTGGGCCCCAACAGGTCCTACTTCGGGGAGGTCAGGGGCCCCCACCCCGGTCTACGCCCTGGCTCCCTGGTTAAGCACAGACCAGAGAGCACAGCACTTTCTCTGGGCAACCGGAACGGCTTGCTCACCCGCGCTCGCCCTCTCTCTCTCTGTCTCTCTCTCTCCAACCCTCCCAACACCCAGTTTATGTCCGGAGCTCTCTCCACTCGCCCAAGGAATGTGCTATTGGAAACCACAGCCTGGAGGGCAAACAGCCCCTCGGACTGAAAGGCCAAAGGGAGGAGGAAACGGCGGTTAACGCTTCAACATACTGTCCTGCCACAATATTCTCTTGTGCAGTGATGGCTTCGGATGGCTTCATCCCAATGGGAGCCCCTTTGTGCCAGGGCCTCTCAGGGCCACTCTCTGGGGACAGAAGAGAACCTGACACCCCTGGCCTGGGAACCGCCACCCTACTCGGACCCTCTCACTCGGCCCTGGGGGCCATTCACGTGTCTTGAATTAAGGGCCCCGCTGGGCACGCGGGCTTCCCACGCGGAGCGGACAGAACCAGGCCGGGAAGCGCACTGAGGGGCGGGGTCAGGCCAGCGTCTCCGCAGGGCGGTGCTCGCTCGCGCTCAGGGTTGAAAGTCCATGCGCATTTCTCTTTTCTCCCGTAGACTGTGAGCTCCTGCAGAGCAGGGCCTGCGCGCCCCCTAGTCACAAAGCCCTCACCCCATGGCGAGTCCAGCAAAACCGCTCAGTAAAGAGTAGGCGTTACCGTTTGTAGTAGGAGTTGCTACTGTTTTTCTCTTTGGATTCCCACTCCTACCTAGGAGTCTGTCCGGTCCGTAGAGATCTTGAACACGTGAAAGAACGAGGAAACTTAGACTGGACACGGAGCGCTGGTGATGAGAGAAGAGAGGACAGCCCTGCTCCCCAGGACGTGAGTTTCGCTGGAGTTGCGCCGGAAAACACAGGCAGGGTGAAAGGAACCGAGAGAAGGAAGCAGCCGGCTTCCTGAGCGACCCGGGAACAAACACTAGGTTTGCATGAGCCGCGGGAAGCCAGCGGATGCTCCTGCAGCATCTTCTCCCGAGGGGGCCCCACATCCACCCAGACACAGCTCACCCTCAGGTGCAGGTCTACAACTCTCACTTTCCCACAATCTACAGCTCTTTTTGCTCCCAGACCAACTAGATCTGTGTCCCCAAGGCGGAAGCTGCATTTGCCACACTCACTTTATTATAGGGACAGGCTCTCAGCACCCCTGAGCGCCAGCAGGTGTTCTTCTGCAAAGCGAGTTGCCAACGACGGGGGTCTTTGTTGGAGACGTGCACTGTGGCCACAAGGCCCCAGCCAAGCACAACTCGAGTGGTTTTCTCTAAGCCTTGATTCCTATGAGATAATAGAAAATATATATATTGGTCCCTGCCCCTGGTTCCTGGCACAGAGCTCCTAAAACCTGGGTGATAGGACTGTCTTTTGTTCTAATGAGGTGACTCTTGGTGGGCTCCTGGATGGGGGCTGGTGACCCAAAAGACCAAGCCATGATGAGGAGCTTGGAACTTTCAGCCCCAACCCCCCATCCTCCACAGTTAATGACTGATCGTGCCTACATGAAGGCACCACGAAAATCCTAAGTGTCGGGGTCAGAGAGCTTGCAGATCGGTGAACACATGGAGATTTGGGCAGAGTGTCACCCTCGGAGAGGGCACGTGAGAGCTCTGTGCCCTTTCCCCATACCTCACCCTGTGCATCACTTCCATCTGTCTGTTCCTGAGTTATGTCCTTTTGTAATAGGCCAGTAATCTAGTAAGTAAAATGTTTCTCTGAGTTCTGTGAGGTGCTCCAGCAAATTAATTGAACCCAGAAGGGGGTAGTAAGAACCTCCAATCTATAGCTGGTTGGTCAGAAGCACAGGTGACAACCTGGACTTGCGATTGGTGCCTAAAGTCAGGGGTCGGGGGAAGGGGATGATAGTCTTGTAGGACTGAGCCCTTAACCTGTGGCATCTGACACTATCTCCAGGTTGATAGTGTCAAAACTGAGTGAAATTGTAGGCTACCCAGCTGGTGTCACAGAGAATTGCTTGTTGTGGGGAAAATCCCCCACACCTCTGGTGTCAGGAGTGTGGTGAGCGTGGTAGTGGTGTGAGAATAAAGGAGACACACGGGAGGAAAGACTGGGGGTGGTCTTCCTAAACAATTCCTTATCTGTAAAATGAAGGTAGGAATAGCTCTTTTGCAATGGTATTATGAGGATTAAACGAAATAATCTTTATCATGGCTTTGACACACTGCACAGATGCCGGTGTGCAAGAAACACTGCATCTCTTTATCGTCTCGAGATTAACTGAAGTGTTTTAAGGTTTGCACACGATCAAATGCACCTGTTTTAAGGATACGGTTTGATTGGTTTGCAGAATGTATGCACAAGTGGAACCACCATCACAGTGAGGTAGAAATACATGCACAGTGCCTGGTTAAGGCACTAGCTGTTCCGTTGTAGTGACTCCCCAAGTCCTGGGATGGGGACCCTTGACTCTAGCTCAACCTACAGGAAGAAGACTGCCAGGGCCGCCAGGAAACCACTGAGCCAGAGACTCCAAGTCTACACGCGCAAAGCCCCTCTTCAGGGGTACCAAAAGTCCCTCCTTAGCAATGGGACAGCCCAACGTCTCTTCACACCTAAGCCATCCCTTCGTTCCACAAGGAAATGATGCCACGCAGCTCTGCGTAATCTGCACGCCTGTTTGGCACTAACGAAGCTGTGCAAACAGGCTGAGGAGGCTGGGGGGTGGGCTCAGATCTGGGGTTGCACTCTTGAGGGCAGCTCTGAGAATGAGCTCAGAAGGGGGCAGTGACAGGGTGCAGCCATGGCCGAGGGCTTCTTGAGGGAATCTGAAAAACAAGGTATTCCCTCCTGGAAGAATGAGGGATCTGAAGAGGGTGTGCAAATCGCCTCCTACTAGATGGGCTCCAGGGGACAAAGTACCTTGAGTGAGCACGAGATGGGGAATGGGCCGATTCATAAAGGTGGACGGAGAGAGAGAAATGTCTTTCTAGAAGAGTTTGCCTCGATACCACCAGCCGTGGTGGTGGGGTGGGAGAAAGCTCTCCATCAAGGACAAAGGGAGGAAGGAAGGATCTAGTCTCAGAACGGCCAGGGGCCAGGGTCTGAGTGGAAGGGGCCTGAGAACCCAGGGCCTCCTGCTAGGTCTGCCCTGGTGAGATATCGGCTTGACACATACACACAGCTCAGGGCACACCTTCTTGTTCTTCCACGCCGTGAAAGGATATGTAGATTTAAGTCCAGTCCAAACTGCTGTATGTGGTGACAAGGTCAGGTGAAGGTGAACTGGGGCCAGATGGAGCAGAGTGGAGGCTGATCTGGTGTGCAACACACCTGCTGGGACAGGCTGCTGGAGAGGGCGCTGCCCGCAGACCAAACATCCAAGGGGATGAGTCATCAACCTCTAGTGAGGAAAGGCCATCCTAGGTGTCTTCATGCAATAAAGAGCGTCTGTCCGACGTTCGGCTATAGAAAACCAGTCAAGTGAAAGCACTCATTGTAGAAAATCCTGAGGGACTGAGCAGAAAGCTATCAGACCCCTTTTTTCATGGCCGCTAATTAAAATTACCAACACTGAGATTCCATGAGATGTCACCAACTAGAAGTCTTCCACATTTCCAGAGGAAATGTCCTCCTGGGTCACCAGCCAGGAGTTATAGCTGCACATGTGTGAGTTTCCAAAGAGCTACAATTAGCAGGAACTTGTGGCCAACTCTGTCAGTCAGGCTCTTAGTTGCAAAAAGAATCCACACTGGCCAGTTTAATGCTGGGAGGGCTGGAGAAAGCTGGACTCTCAACGTCCAGGACAACGTTCAGAACCACATCAGGGAACTGGCTGATTCCGAGCTGTGGCCTCTGCTCCACCCATGTCAGCCCACAGGATGGCTCAGCAGAGCGGTTTCCCCACAGCAGGACTAGGAGCTAAACAAAAACCAATTTTATGTACAGCATCCCAAAGTGGACCCGGATGTATGTTTTTTATCTTCATTAAATCTAAACTAGATCAGAACAGCCAAGCATTTTGGCATTAAATGCAAGAAGAACATGGAATCCGTTGAATTCAAGATCCAGGAAACCAAGTACCAGTTTGTGAGTGTTCTGTCAATGCTGTTTGCCAAAAAGGAAAAGGTCCACAGCCCTGCGTGGAGCTCAGTCACGGAACAAGAAGGAAGGAGCAAACCTCTTAGAAACTGCCTAATTCTTAGTCTTGAAATGCACCAGAGTTCCCCCCCTCACAGCTCAGCCCCCCTGGGAGCTTCCGGGCTGCTGTGCCTGTGCCAGGAGCTGTCCCCTCCCTGACGGCTCTCAGAATCCGCGTTTGGCTCCCCTGTGTGGAGACAGGTTTAAACAGCCTTCTCTAGACTCATGGCTCTAGAAGCTTCCTTGCTTTCATCGTCCGCAGCTCCAGGTCAGAGATACTCTTGCCCCAGCCCAGGCTCTGGAACTCCTACCAAGGAAGGTTATTCACCCCCGGGCCATTCTTCACATGGACTCTACTCTAAGGTGCCAACGACCCCAAGGGCAGAATGGTGAAGAGAAGGAAGCGCCTGTATGTGAAAAAGACACTGGCCAGGCTGACCCCATAGGAGGCCAACTAGCAACCAGTGTCTCCAGGTTCTGGAGAACTGTGGTCCAGTCTGGGTTGTTGTCCATGTCTGGCAATGAGGCCCACATGTAGCTGTCCTCAGGCAGGGATCATGTTCAGGTGGCTTCATTGGGTTAGACAGCTTCATCTGAAGCAGCTTGTGGACTCAGCCAAGAGGCCTGGAGCAGGGCCCAACCCCCAGGTACTGACCAAGGTCAGGCAGCTTGGTTGGGCCCCAGTGCTGCTCAGAGGGCTTAGGACAACAGAAGCTTAAGAGCAGCCCCACATTCTGGTGCCTGTGGGAGGGAGTGCGGTTTGCAGGGCCTTCCACAGAACGGGACTGGGGTGGACTGGGCCCATGGTATCGTCAAGCCTGGGACAAACAGGATCATTATTAAAATCTCTGTCCCAACGTCCTAACCCATTGGCCATTCGGGTGACAAAGAAGTGGATCCCTAACCCCAGCTCTAACCATGCCAGTTCACATTTGCTAGGAGATTTAATCCTAGCTCAAGTGTCCTCTGTAATCTTCCCTTTTGGACCTTGTTGGCTACCTCCCTTTGCACTAAAAACAGAAGACCCCTAAATCAAGTTTTCTTCCAGGGGACTTGTTAGAGTGACATAAGAAGGATGAGATGCACGAGGAAGGTGCGGCAGACATTGGCTACCTGCTCCTTAACCTTTTACCTCTTATTCTTGGGAGAAACCTGGCCACGTGTCCCAGCCTCCTTTTCAGTTAGGGTGGCCTTGTGGTTGCGTTCCAGCCAAAGAAGTGGCAGTGGAACAATGCAGGCTGCTCCCAGGCTAACCCATGGAGTCCTCCCATCTCCCTGGACACCATGTAAAAAATAATCCCCCAACAAGGGCAATTGGGAGAGGCTACCGTGCCGATCAGTTTTATCGCTGCCGTGCTAAATAGAAATTTGGAGGGGTCGGAGGCGGAGAGCAGGCTGTCAGGGACTGGGAGGGCAACTGCAGAGAGGCTTGAGCAGGGAAGCTCCAAGAGGCAGGAGGACAACTGCCATCCTCTCTCTGGATTCCACCCAAAGAGGGTGAGGGAACACTAGCTGAGCGAGGTGGCCCCAGGGGCCGTACGTAGCAGGAATGGGAGCCTCTGGCTGTTGGCAGCTCTTGCTTTATCTCCCACCGCAGTGCTCTGTAACGGGCCGGCTGTGGGAATAGTAACAGGGTCCCCTGGGTCCTGGGAGGCCCAGCAAACATCTCCCTGGCACGGTGAACACGCAGGAGAAAAAAGCCTGCGATCCTCACACAATACACCTGCTCTGACTTCTCACTTACT